AATCTGGACCATCAATAACCTTGGCAAGCTCTTCCAATGTTGGTCCCTTTGTCTCAACGTATTTGAAGAACACGCAGCAAAGTTCCAAGAAGATCCAGCACTGTATTACTTTGTTAGTTTTGCGGGCCTCGGAAAAGATTTCTGGACAAAGCATACTGTGTAGATGAGGTACAGCTTCCAGGTCTCTCCCTCAAAGAAGTTGAGGGCCGCAGGGTTGGCGTAATTGTTGAGAGTGAGCGCTGACTGGATGGCAATGTTAAGAATCATGAGACCCTTGGCTCGCAACTGGTAAGGGAGAATTTCCACGGCATATCCAATCAGCAAACCGGACCACGCAATTGCATATGCAACGTTGAAGACCCAGATGAAGAAGATCATGGCATGATTCGCACCCAAAGATCCGTACTCTTCATATAGCGCACAGGTCAAAGTCCAGAAAATGAAGGTGCCAAACATGCCCCCGGTTGAAGTGAGGAAAGTTGGACGGCGACCGACCTTGTCAACCATGAGGGCGAAAGCGATCAATACGATCAGCGATACCATAGACGAACCAGCAGAGAGCTATTGTGGGAGCACTGCTGTCAGTGAGAGGCACATGGTAAGTATATTTTAGGAGCAGAACACTTACGCCAAGCTTAGCCGTCGAGTTTGTGATTCCTGCATTGTCGTACAGGATGTTGGTGTGACTGGATATGGTGGCATTTCCAGACCACTGAGAAAAGATTCCCAACGAAATCAAGATCATCAGCCTGTAACGGTTGCCTGAGCTTCGAAAGAAGTCAAGGTAGCTGCTGTGCTCGTTGACTAAACGCTCCAGCCTGATCGTGTCCCGTCTCGAGCCACGACCTGAAGGCCTTGTCCTTGTCCACTTGGGACGTCTTCGAGTGGTAGACCTGCGCGGCCTCCTCCGAGGCAAGGCGCTCAGCCATGTTGATGCCGCGGCAGTAGACGACAACCAGGCGAGGGGCTTCTCGCGACGCCTCGTCTGCCGCTGCCTTTTCCCTGTTGGCTTTGCGAAAGCGGGCGATAAGGTCAGCGAGCGCCGCCCTGACGGCGGACGCGGTCTGGAGAGGCTCGTTCCGCAAGGTGATCTCTGGGCGGCCAGTGGAGGCGCAGATGATCTTGGCGTTGGCGGCGAGGTTGTAGACGTTGCAGAAGTCGGTCTCGAGGGAGGGAGGGAGCTTCGCCGTGATAAACAACCTCCGCCGGCAGACTATCGCCGTCCTGGCACCTATCTCGAGGAGGAGGGGACGGAAGGTGACGTTAGCGCCGAATATGAGGTGGGCCTCGTCGACGACGACACGGTCGATGGCGTGGCTGTCGTTGAGCGAGTAGACGAGGGACTTCAATAAGGAATACCTTGGTCAGCGGCCAGAGAAAATAGTCTCCTGCTCAGTTCGGACACCTAGACCGAAGCGAAGTCAGAGTCCAGCGACATGATTACTAACAAAGCGCTGTCAACTCCAATAGCCAGAAATTTAACTCAAACAGAAAATGCTCGTGCCAATAAATCCCTGCAAAGTCCTCTTCTCTGGAAGGTGTGCTTCAAACGGAGACCCAACTTGACCGCTCACTTCCATGCGAATTATGTCCGAGTTGAGAGTTGACCAAGATTACTTAACTACACTTGCATCTCCCATTAGGCAAATCCGATGCTGAGAAAAACTATGAGCAGGGTATATACAACAACACCTCACTACGACTCAGATTGGATGTCTCCTTTCCACTTTTTGAACCGGCGAGCGGGCAGTCTCAGGTTAAACATGTGGTCAATCTCCATCACACTTCTTCCCTTCATCTCAGGCAAAAAGAACCAAGAAAGCGCTACTCCGAGAGCACACAGCGCGACATAAAGAAAACCAGTCTTGGCTCCCAGATGGGCAGCGTCGGGGTTATAGGCGTAAGGAAGCAGGAGGTTTATCACCACCGAAGAACCTTGCTGGGCTACACCGCCGATCCCCTGTGTCTTGGCTCGTAACCTCAAGGAACTCGTCTCGCCCATGATGGCGTACGATGCTGGCCACACGCCCATGCCACAAACAATTATTATGAGGATGCATCCCCCAGCCGTGAAGTAGGCGACCGCCGGGCCACGCCAGATGCCGGAAACACCGACGGCCGCCCAGAGCAAGGTTGATATCGATAAGGATATCAGCGTCACCTTTCTCCGGCCGACGCGGGACAGAATCCATATCCCAAGCCCGTTGGCAAATGTACCTACCACGATACCGCCGATGAGAATCATGAGACTGATGCGGGACTTCATGCCGATGGTCTGCAGGAAATAACTTGACTTGGCGATGAGGTCAAGACCGAACAAGGCCGGAAAGAGGTTGGCCATGATGACAATCATCGTTCTCCGGAGGTTCGTACCTTTGAAGCAAGTGAAATAACTGGCCCCGGCAGTCATCTCCTTCTCCTCGATGATGCTGGCGCGAAGTTTCCGCAGGACTGCCATCGAATCGACGCGAGGCGCATACAGTCTTTCTGCAGCCTTGGCCGCCTTGTCAGGCTCACCGCGCTCTTCGAGATACGCGGGGCTTTCGGGGATGATGAGGGACAGAATGAACGGGACGACAGCGAGGGTCCACTGAGAGCCGAAGGAGGCGAGATAGCCAGCCTTCGTCGGCACGTCATTGACGAGGAATACCACGATGGAGCCGAGAAGCTGGCCGATAAGATTGCCTGTCGGTACCAGTCCCATTGCCGAGCCCCGTAGGGCGGTCGGCGCCGTCTCGGAGATGTAGGTCATGGCGGTGACCTTGAGGATGCCAATGGATAGGCCTTGGACAGTCTTGCCGACGAAGAACATGGCGCGCTTCGCGTTCATGTCCGCCGGGAGGTACGAGAAGAAGATGCCACCGACCCCAAGGGCGCAGATGATTGCACCCGTCCGCAGACTCCATATACGCCCGACACGATCCTGGTACCATCCCGCAAAGACGGAGCCGAAGGCCATGCCCAGCGGGATGGATGCGGACCACAGTGAGACCCAAAGCGATGGAATGATAATGTTGCCCTCGTACACCTCGCCGTAGTCTCTCTGGAACGGCTCGACGGCGATGATGGAGCCAACAATCACCAGGGCGTAACCCCAGCCAATGATGACGACGGTGAGGGACACACAGTACGCCACAACTCTGGGGTACTGCCGGATGGCTTGGCCTAGCGGCAGATTGTCCTCGCCTGTGTCATGGCGGACAGACTCGCTGGTTGTTGACTTGATCAGAATGGACATCGATTCGATTCGCTTCCTTCTGGAGCCCGATAGCCGTGAAGTCGAAACCCGATCGTGTCTAGTATCGAGAGTGTGCGAACTATTATTACCGTGTTCTGTGAGTTCGATGTTGTCGGTCGCGATGGAGCCCCTGTCGGCAAGGCTCGTTTTGACACGAAATGGGCTCATCGCTTAATTGGGACTCGGATAACAAAGTTGACTGGGGTGTAATAGAATCGGGAATAGCTAATGCAGGTAAAATGAAATGCCCTCTTTTTGCTTCGATAATTTACTGCTATTGGTGGGATTGGGGCCCGTCAGAGAGCGCTCTGGCTGTCATCTGGATACCAATCAAGAATAGGAGATCGCAGGCTTCTTAAGGATCCTGATGTCTATTTCTTAAATCCTACACACATCAATGCAACCATGCCTCGGCAATGCACCACCAGTCGGATTGAGAGTGTTACTGAATGGGATATCGAGGCGCAGCACGGGAAAACGACAAACAAACATCTCAGAACAATGGCGCAAATAGACCGGTATATGCAGCTTGGCAGCTTACGACGCTGTTACGCACGATTTCCTACAGCATGCAACGACCAGTTGTACTTTGCTGGTGACCGTCGTTCATGTCGGAAACAAGTTACGTCGGCCCGTTCCGTTGCCGTCGTTGGCTCGTTGTATCTCCTTAGGCGTTGACCACGGAAGTAAGCATCTGCGGGAACGGGAACGGGATGAGGGAACGGACTTTGGACGTCTTAACGGTCGAGTTTGACGTTCCTCGCTCCTACGGCTGGCGTTGCATGCCACTCCAATTGGAAGCTAGCCGTAACCGTTCCTACGGACACGGACACGGATTCTTGGTCTAAGCCGCATATCATTCGATCACAGTTTCCAAACGTTGTCTCTAATCGTTACCTCTTCAAGAACTGTTTCTCTAGATACGTGAGGTAACACACATCATAAGAGCCGTCCAAGGTCATTGAAGACAGTGCATCACCCGGCAGGACTCACGGAGGACAACCAACACACCGATCGGAGAACGCCTCAACAGATGGGGATGGGTTTTACTGGTTTATGCTGAATATCTCCGTTTCATCTGACACAGTTTCGTAGTTGGTTCAGGCCAGCCGCTGTTGAAAGATAGACAACCTCCCTTCTCCAGTCTGGTTGAATATCGACATACTGAGCACCAGACTACGGGTTGCATCGTGGCAAGAATCCCTTCAAGACACGAAAGGCCCGTTTCAAGCCCGATCATTTCTGAAGCCGAACAACACACGCCATGGATTCTAGGCCGGTTTGCCACATAGTGACCCCGGTTGGCTGCATGGGTTACGGGTTCGACGAGAACCTCGTGGCCCAAGAGCTGACACAGCTCGCCCCCAGCAAGATTCCAACCGCCATCATCCTCGACGCAGGATCGACTGACAGTGGCCCCGAAAAGCTGGCTCTCGGAACCATGACTTGCCCGCGCTCGGCCTATGTCAAGGATCTTACCAAGTTGTTGAGACTGGTGCACAAGTTTCGAGTTCCGTTGATCTTTAGCTCTGCCGGAGGGGACGGTTCCGATGAACACGTAAGGTTGATGGAGGAGATTATCGAAGAAATATCCGCAAAAGATACGAACCAGTAAGTGTTACTCTTAACTTCCGCAGCAGCCACTTACCCGGATAGGCATTACTCATTTAAGACCATCTCCCTCTTCTCGGGCATCGACAAGTCGGTAATCCTCGAGCGTCTCAGCGCCGGTCGCATCAGCGGGTGCGGAGCGTGCGTTCCAGAATTGACTGCGAAAGACGTAACAGAATCTCCTCGAGTTCTTGCGCAGATCGGACCGGAGCCCTTTATCGACGCTATGGAGGCCACGCCGGACTTCAATGTGATCATCGGCGGCCGGGCATACGACCCTGCCCCTTATGTCGCTTTCTCGATGTACCAGCTCAAATTGCAGCACCCAGATATTAGCCCCGAGCAGCTGGAATCATGCCACGGGGGACTCCTGCATATGGGCAAGATCATAGAATGCGGCGGGTTATGCTCGACGCCCAAGTCCCATGGAGCAATTGCCACTGTCTACGTAGATGGGACTTTTGACGTAAAACCGATCGCCCCTGGGTCGCGTTGCACACCTTTGTCCGTCGCTGCGCATTCGCTATACGAGAACACGCGGCCTGATGTCCTGCGAGGTCCCGGCGGTGCGCTTCACCTGGACCAGGCCCACTACAAGCAGCTCGAAGACGGACGTACAGTTCGTGTCCACGGAGGGAGGTTCATTTCTTCGGCTTCCCACGGCCAGCCGTATCAACTCAAGTTGGAGGCTGCGCGGGTTCTGGGTTACCGGTCCATCGTCATGGGCAGCATGCGGGATCGTAAGTCAACACCCCTGCTCTTGCTTGATATCTCGTGGAATTCCAGCGCCTTTGATTAACGGATACTCATGATATTAGACATTCTTGTCCGGCAGCTGGACGACTTCCTCGTCTCGGTCAAAGCATATGTCAAACAACAGCATTCGGGTATACCCGGAGACTGGGACCTTGATTTTCACGTTTACGGCAGGGGACAGAGCACGCCCACAGGTCCGGGTGAGGTGTTCATCGTCGTGGAAGCTGTCGCGCCGACTCAGCAACTCGCAACGGGCCTTGCATCTACAGCAAGGATTGCCTTGATCGTTAGTATCACAATCCAGGTGAAGCTCGTTGGGGTCGCTAACAAGCATGGCAGCACGGGCCGTACCCGGGTCAAAAAGCAACTTCGGGCAACTTTGCGTTTGGCCTCGCCGGGAAGCTGGAGATCGAGACAGGGCCTTGTGCCCAGTTCTCCGTATACCACCTCATGGACCTAGAACGAGGCGAAGAACGACTTTCCTCCCCTTTTAAAGATGAGACTGGAAGATGTCTCGTTCATGCTAGCATCTCCGTCATTGGGAAAGGTGAACAGGCTCAAATCCCCAATGATTCGCTTGAGGGGAGCAGGGCTGCCGAGTCTAAGCAATCGAATCACGGTAGCAAGGCAGCTACCCTGTCTGGAAATGCAGACGGTCAGGCCGTTCTTGATCGTCGGCCAGAGACATTGTCCGACATCTCGCGCGTTCTTCGATCGAAAAACGCAGGTCCCTACGAGATCACCATGGATGTCATGTTTGAATCCAAATCCGTCTTCGACGCAGTCAAAGCCTCCAGTTTGTTGTCTGCGGAACACGTGGCTGATGCTTTGAATATTGGCCTAGAGGACATTATTTGGTCGGGCTTTTTTGCCCCTGCGCTGGCATTCAAGGTAACGATACCACGCTTCAGGGGTGGGAAGAAGGCTTCTGCAGGGAGCTTCATGGAGAGCGATATTCATGGATCGCAGCAGCATCTGGGGCTTTCGATTATGAAGTTGCCTCCTGGACTCTTATCGTAATTGGGGGATTTTTTTTTTTTTTTTTTTTGTTATTGTGTTTTAGGGTCACGTAAGTTGATCTGCAAAGGTAGAAAGCGGGAGCTCCCATTTAGATTATTATGCATGTCCGGGAAGTCAAAGAACGAACACCCAGTCATTTTCATGGGTATGAGTTTCAATGTTTTACATTGTCGTCCAACACAGAAAGAAAAACCTGGGCATGATCACGAGATATGGCATAGTCAAACAGTTTTCAGCGATACATCCTGGCTAGTGGGTTCGTCCCCTCTTCGTTTTCAAACATTGCAATGCCAGTTGCTTTGCAGTCCAGAGCCCCAGATGGAGTTGCTCTATGATTCATTTACCGTCGAAACAGGGACGGGACGGCGAACCCTGCCGAACACCTAATCTAAGTTCATAAACCTGGGGTAAAATCATCTCCGGAGAGATGACGCAACAGCTGGGATATGTGTGGCTCTGTCCCTGTCGATCTTCAACTCCAGCCGCCAAAGATCAGATGACCCGGGCTGAAACAGCAGTGACGTTTCCGTGGCCAAGGCGGCGCAGCATCACTGTCACCCGGACACGCCATTTACGGTTTCGAAACCGCCTTGAAGAGAGATCTTGGAGAGGTCTTTCGCCCGAGACAACACGGATACTATTAGCCTACTAGAACCCCAAGGCCACAATGTCTAACATGCCCATTTGCGACGTTGATACGCCGGACCCTTGGGTCGTGGCGGCTAACGGCAAGTTTTACCTTACCTTCACCCTCGACAACCGCATCGAGATCTGGGCCTCGCACACGCTCGAGAACTTCCACCACTGCCACAAGAGCGTCGTCTGGCACCCGGCGCCCGGCACCCCGTGGTCCGTCAACATATGGGCGCCGGAGCTGCACTACCTCAACGGCCGGTGGTATATCTACACCTGTGGCGCGCCGCCCGGCGTCGGGAATCCGGGCCACCGGACCACGGTGCTCCGGTCATCGTCGCAGGATCCCATGGACGCCGGGGCGTGGGAGTTCCTCGGCCCGCTCGAGGGCATGCCGGACCAGTGGTCTATCGACGCGACCGTCTTCAGCCCCAACGGACATGACTTTTACTGCTGCTGGTCCGGGTGGCCGCTCGGCGACACGTCCGACTCGCAGCAGGACTTGTTCCTGATCAAGCTGCGCGTGCCGGAGGAAGCGATTCCCGAGACGATGGTCTGCATCTCGCGGGCCGAGTTACCGTGGGAACGTCCGGACGAGGGCCGCCGCGGGGTCAACGAGGGGCCCACGTGGGTGAACATCCCCGGCGTGTTCAGCGGCATCGTGTATTCGGCCGACGGCAGCTGGACGAGTCACTACAAGCTCGGGCTGCTGCCGCTCATAGGGCAGGATCCGCTCGACCCGGCTTGCTGGGCGAAGAGATCGACACCGCTGCTGGTCAGCCATAAGCGGTGCGGGGGTCCGTACGGCCCAGGCCACGCGAGTTTCCTGCCGAACCCGCACGACAGAAGCCGGGTGTACTGCATCTACCACGCAACGAGCAATTTTGGCGAAGGATGGGCGAATAGGAAAGCGAGAGTGATTGATATGGGACCGGAATGCTTTGGGCCTCATGCGCACTCACTGTGCTGCGCGCTGGATCGACACGTGCCGAAACACAGACATGACAGGCCACGGGATTCATCGTGCATCATGTCATGAGATGTGTGGCTCCTTGATATAAGATGGTTCAGCCTCCAGTCATGAAATAGGAGAATGGAGAAGTGTTTGCGTATTTTCTAATGAGTATAACGGTGAGCTGCCCACAGTCATGGACCATGTTCGAACCTCTCACTATGAGCCAGCCGCCTAGGATTAGACGTCCCAATATCAACACCCATTCATTCATTAGCTTCATGAAATATAGTTACGATTCTGAAATTACTTGGCGATGGCGTGCCCGTGTAGAGTTGCCAAGGATCATGTAGTTGAATTATCAAGTCACCACGATGACGAGCTAGGCACAGATCAAGACGCATGGGACGCCTGGTCATCTCCGAGGAACACGCCGGCTACATTCTTAACTCAAATCATGAAGGTTTATTCGTTAGAAGGGCCTCTTTACCAGTCCCCAGCTGTTGAGAACAACCATGGCTCACCCGCCTTTGACTGGGTTTAATGCCAGCAATCATGTTGAGATGAGTATTTTTAACCCCCACCAACCGCACATGGGTTTTCCAACGGAAGATTTACGACCTTTACGGCGTGTGTAAACAAGGTCAAGCATTCCGGCCGAACCTGTGATGTAACTCGATCGAATCAGGAAAACGACGTGTCTTGTCGTCAGACGTGGTGACCCACAACGCCATTGGACTTGAAACCTGATGATTATGAGAGATGAACCCCGTTTGCATTCATCCAGACACACACTCGGGTTTGAATGTCGAATCTTGAGTACGCTTGTCATGCGTCCTTACAAACCCCTAGCAATCAAGGACGATTGGAGGCGAACAAGGTGACTCAGGCTTCGGATTTAATATTGAGATGCCCTCTGCGACAAAGTTTGACGGCCACATCACATAGCCAAAGGACTCGAATCGTATATGTGTATTCTTAACTCAAGAACCGGGAACACTAGTGGTATCGTTGTTTCCTCCCTAATTCATTACCCGACATGGATAAACCGTCGTTATTCATAAGAAAATATTATGCGTCATAAGTAAATATTACGGCAGCATGATGCGCCTCGTTGGCTTTCGGCAAGCACCTCAAAGTCCGTTGGAAGCACAACCAAAGGGCTTGCCGACTGTGCCCGCCCGGAATTCTTCGATGATGCCCTCGACACTGGCATACGTCCCAGCCGTAAGGAAAAGAATACCGGTGAGAATGATGATGATGTTGAGACCCATGGACGCCCAGTCAACGAGCTTGTTCTGTTTGGGGAGCCCGGCGCGGTTGTCGGCGCTCCTCATGCGGAAGTAGGCCACGCCCCAGAAGATAAAGCCGAAGAAGGAGTCGAAGAGAGAAGACATGAGGGAGAGGACTAAGGGGCGGTCAGTATTGCTCATGCAAGGTTGGGCGGGCGGGCTTACGAGAAGAGAAGAAGGGAATCAGCTCGGCGATCAAGAAGGCCAAAAGCCAAAGCGCCACTATTTTCGGGTGTCAGTCCAGCACGATTTCCCCAGCAGCCGCGGGGTCTGCACTCACGGAGAATGGTCGCCCACGAGCCCCAGCCGATGATGGTGTGCTCATGCAGGTGCCTCGTTCCCTTGAACATGCGGAAGAAGAGGAAGCGGGCCGAGACACTGGCGTACAGCACGCCGAGGAAGATGAGCGTCGGGATCATGAAGGAGAAGGACACCTTCTTGTAGACGTCCTCGAGGGAGCCGAAAGCCGGGGCGGTCATGTACTGGTTGCCGACGAAGGCGTAGACAACGGCTCCGACGATGCTAAAGACGATGATTTCGCCGATGGTGACAGCCCATAGAGCCTTCGGGAAGTCGCTGATATAATTAGCACATCGGTGTTTGGCACAAAGGGGGGGGGGGGGGAGTCGTATTGCCTACCGAGGGTCTTTCATCTCAGCAATGAAGCTAGGCAACGTGATCTGGCCGATGAATGTGTAGCTGATGTTCAAGAAGGCGTTCATACCGGCCACAAACGTGGTAGACATGACCGGAACGGCTGTTACGATGGGGTTGCCGCCGGTCTGGGTTACGCCGCTCGCGTCAACGTACGTGGACCGGGGATCGTAGCCGGCGGGATGAGACTGAACACCGGCGAAGATGGTGGCCAGCAGCACCGAGATGAAGGTGAAGGCCGCCGAGGCCGTGCCGGCCTTGGAGAGCGAGTCGAACGTGCGGGGCAGCGAGCAGACCCAGCAGATGACGGTGACGACGATGGAGAAGACGACGGTTCGGCAGACGACGGGGTCGGACTCGGTCATCGTGTTGAGGTACTTGGCGCCGACGAGGACGTGGAGAGCCTGCGCGACAGTCAGCATAGCACTCGCTTGTTGGAGTCCGTTTACGACGGACCTGGATAAACTAGGCAGGGTTAGCACTCTGGACCGGCCACGCTTAGATACGGACTCAAGGACACTCACGGTGTTGTTCAAAATGAACATGACGGCGGTGGCGTACCACGCCCATTTCTTGCCCCAGAAGAGCATCTGGCCAATGTCGCAGACGTCGCGGACTTCGGGATGCCTCAAGCAGAACTGCCAGAGAACCAGAGAACTGCGGGCCGGGGGGTCAGCGTTGGTGGAGGAGTCCCTCCGTTACACGCCAGGCGGGGACGGACGACGTACGTGTAGAGAACAACGAGGGCGATGACGGCGGTGAGGATCAGCCCGGGCACGAGCCCGAGGACGCTGTATGACCACGGGAAGCTCATGATGGCCTAAACGGTCAGCAAGTGGAGCACGGCATGGGCTCGACTAGAGACTCGGAGATACTCACTAGGCAAATGTACTCAGAGAAGAGCAGGCCGGCAGTCTGGGTATGGCCGTCAGCATGCACGCGCACACACGCCGGCGTCTGGGACACTCGATTGCGATCCTACCTTTTGCCAGCTGCAGGTCCGGTACTTGATAGCATGGCCGTCCTCCTCGGCGAGCTGCTTCCCCAGGATGGCGTCGGGGCTCTCCTCGCCGTCCGAGTGCTCGCCCACGCCATCCTGGCGAGGAGCTATCCGGGGGCCGACCTTGGTCGTGCGGCCGCCGAACCAGGCGCTGAGGCCGGTCTGGTCGCCGGTCTCGACATCTGAGCGTACGAAGGCAAGCTCGGCCTCGCCCTTGTCGCCGGGGGCGGTCCCGAGTTGGCGAAGGTCTTTTTCCATGGCATCAATTGGTGTCGCGACGATACGATGCGTCGGTAGGGCACCTTTCAGCGAGGAAGGGGTGATGGATGAGCGGGCGACGCGCCGAATGGTGATCTGTCAGGCGGGAGGGGGTGACAGGCAACGGTCGATGCGTGCGATGAGATGACGTGGTGGGTGCAATGATGCAATGCTACGACAACGACACGACTGACGGGTCACGGACGTGACGGAGAGGGAAGGGAATGGATGAAGAGAAGGACGAGAGATGAGACAGAAAGTTCGGAACAGACTGTTATCAGGCACGGATGGGTATGTAGGAGTAGAGGGCGCGAGCACGTGGGACGTGCAGGTTTAAAGAGGAGGAGAGCGCAGAGACGGGAAGACGAGAATGATCAACCAGATCGGTCCAAGTCCATCGAGGCCGAAAACTGCAAGAATTGTTTGATCCCGGGCAGCTGGAGACTTGAAAGATGCATACCTACTTGCAACCCTCGACGCGGATGGGCTCCCTGCAGGCTACCCTACGCAGTACCATCCATGTAAGCGTTCGCCTTCTGCCCGCCGCACGGCTGGGAAGAGGCCGGTCGGTACATGGCACCGCGCGGAGGGCGGGACGTCGCATGCTAAAAGGGTCGGCTAGAGATTACGATATCCGCCAGCAGCGGACTTCCTCCAGTCAAAGGTCGTGAAATCGTAGCGTGGATCGATGTCAAGGAGAAGGGGCCCAACCAAGGTGTGCTGGGACCCGAAAGAGCGCGCGCGACCCGACCAGCGATCTTCTCTTATCCTTTTTTTTCTTTCTTCATTCCCCAACGTTCCAAAAGCTGAATAGGGTCGCGAGAAGAGTGGCCGAGGTCGCGGGGGCACGTCATTGCAGGACATGGGCAGGGGGCGGCGGAGTGGTTTGTCGGCGGATGAATCCCCCCAGCAAGCATCTTGCAGTAAGTAGTGTGCGGCGACAAGGGGAAACGCTTACCCTCATGAAGACGCTACGAAGGTGCCGTCCAAGGGGCCGCCGACATTGGTCGCTGGAGGGACCGAGTGGGATGTCGCAACCAGTCCAAACTAGTTAGTGGCCGAGTATGATATCACGGTCTACACAGTACTACCAACGTGGACGAACGTTTGTCTTGCCCGCCGCCTCGAAGTCGATAAAGACGAAGCTGGTCGGGATGTACAAGTACACCTCTCTCTCTCTCCTCTGAACGGAAACAGGCCCGAGGAAGCTGAGTTCGCAAGTCGTTGAGGAGCCAATTGACATGCTTGCTAAAAAGACGAGCGGATCGACAAAGACAAGCATCGTAAGGATGCGCCACCAGAAAAGCTTGCTCGTGCTAGTGACGTCGTCCCCCGTCAGCAACGCCCCGCCCCCTCCCTTGCAACGGCTACGGGGGGCAAAGCAGGCAACGCGGCGAGACGGAGGAGCCGTGCCAGCGCCAAGAAGCGGCGTCGGGAGGCGTGGGAAGGGAGAGGTCAAGAGATGGCCAAGAGATGAGGCACTTTGTCTCGGCCCGCGGGTGGATGTAAGCTTGGCAGCCGGGCGTCTCTGAACGGGTGTCTGCTGTTCTCACATTCACTTCGACTTTGCCCCCCAGGGAAACGTTTTACTGAGGCATTCCGAGCGTGGTGACATGAACGATATCTGCACTTTGGCGAGCGAGAACGTCCCCCACGCACCGGGACATCTGTTTACCTACTGTGCCATTGGGCGCCGAGTAAGCTCTGTACAGCATGTGTGAACTAACGTAGCATGGGGGCGTGGAGAGGACCTTGAAGAGACTTCGGGCTTGAAACTAGTTGTACATACCGGTATATGGATGGATCAGTACACCCACCAACTGTGGCCCTCCCTCCACTTCCCCCGTCTGCCTTAGCCCGTAGGCGGCCCAAGACCAAGGATGCTGCATGCGACATGGGCAGGTCGTTGGACAATGGAGGGCTATGCCGCGAAGATCAAGCGTTGCGCTGTGGTCGCTGTCCGCACCGCACTGGACAGTCTCTCGAACAGGCTGCAGCATTGGCCCCCGTAGGCTGTCGAGGCAGACTGACTCGAGGGATCCGTCCTATTATGGAACAAGCAGCTGGGCCAGCCGGAGATGGCGTCGGGAGTCCTTGCGTGCGTTCGAGGGCTTAGCCGGCTTCTTGCTTCGACCGGAGGCTCTACATGGTGAAAATGCCAATCAGCCGAACGTGGCCGGACGTGGCTTTGACACATGGAAAACGCGCAGCAAACGTGGCATGCCCGCCATGCCCTGGCCTTTCGAGATGTAACTCTGGTGATTAGTGCGTAAACTCGAGTTCGGGATCCGGCAGCCATCCATCTGTCTCCCCCAGGAATATGGGCCGGATGGTCGGAATTGCGCCATCGGTATTTAAAATTGCATCAGAGCATAAAGAAAACAGAGAAGCAAAGCCAACCCGGTGGCCCCATCAACGTATGTACGGTACGCTAGGTACACACACATGAGCCAACCTAAACCGGCGGGACGGGTTTTTTGCCTCTACTTCGTACATACTGTACTTCTTTGGTATTGCAGTAGCCTCTTGTGAGAGTGGCAGGGTTCTGTTGATCCCCAGAATCCGCGCACACGCTTGTTCTCTCTATTCCGTGAACATTGCAGAGAGATCGTCACCATGACACACCATCTACCCGCAAACAACTATCCCGTTTGCGCCGTCCTCCATGCAAACCACGCGCGCGCGAGGAAGGGGGAAAAAAGGAGAAAAAAATAGTCTAAATACAACGCTGGGATGATTGTTGTCCTGTCCTGTCCCGTCCTGAATCACGTCGCACTGGAGCTTACTACGACTGCGTCTCGTCCCAGTCGACCCATCTCCGGATGACCTCGTCCACCGCCCCGATGCCCTTCTTGGACGTCTGCACCTCGAACCACTCGCGGTGGACCTGGTTGCACCCGGCGCAGTTGATGGGCCCGGCGTGCAGCCCCAGTCCCGCCAGCTCGATGTGAATCAGCCGCTCGACGCGGTGGACGTGCGGCGTCATGCGCGGTTGCTCCCCGGACGCGGCGCTGGCGCCCGGCAGGTAGGGGTAGTAGCGCAGCACCTCGATCTCGTACGAGCACTGCTTGGTCCACTGCTGCATGCGGCGCTGCACGTTGGCCGCCCGCCCGATCTTGATGAGCATCTTGTCGCCCGCCGACGCGCCGCCGTTGGCCTTGGCGAAGGCCGAGACGACGTCGCTCGACCGGCGCTGGCGCCCCGCGCCCCGCGCCGCCGCCGGCGAGGGTGGCGCGAGCAGGGATCGCGCCTCCTGCAGCGGCGCCGCCTCCTTCTTGGACGTCGGCATGATCCAGAACATGTAGATGTAGCCCGGCTCCTCGGAGGAGCCGTACGGCCGGGCCAGCTCGGCCATCAAGGCAGAGGCCGTCTGCGGGTCGGTCGACGGCGGGATGAGGGAGAGGTATTGCGCCGTCTGGGAGGTCGACAGGGGCTGGGGCGACGGCTGCTGAGAGGAGCTCTTTCGGGAGTTGCTCGAGGCGCTCGGTCTCGGTCGGCCGTTGGAGGGGGACAGGAGCTGGCTCGAGGGGCGGGGCATGGGCGCGGAGCCGCCGTTCTGCACTGGTCGCGGCTGGGGCCGTGGCGCGGGCTGGGGGTCATCGTGGACTTCGTCGATGGGGATGGAGAAGCAGAAGCAGAAGTGCAGCATCTCCTTTTCCTTCTTCGGCGGCCGGGTATTTGCCGCCGTCGCGGGCTCTGGCTTCCCGCCGTTGGGGCGTCCGCCCTGCGGTCGGCTCTGTTTCTTGGTCGGGTTGGACCCGACATCCACGAGGCCGAGGCGGTCGGCGAGGGTATCGATGCTGGAGCGCTGCTCCAGGACGGGCCTGCCGGACAGCCTGGGCCCTGGACTCGACTGTGCAGAGCGGCTGGCAGCCTGGTCCCTGTGGTGATGGCAGTAATGAGACTCCTCGACGACAGTCGGCGATAGCTTCTTGCCGTTGACGGGCGTGACCGGGTTTCGGCACAGGTTCCCAGCACCAGTGAGGCCTTTGCAGGTCGTGTTCGGGTCCTTGGAGTCGGACCGCTCAAGGCGGTCTTCGGGGGTGTTGGCAATGTAGCCCATTGTAGCGCGCCGCTTGGGGTCGGGTCACAATGGGATAGTTCGTAATCGATATCAATTGTTCGTGCGAGCCAAGGCTTGATCTTTCGACTCGGAATGCTAGATTCGGTGGGAAAGGGCACGACCGAAGCTCAAACACGTTAGCGACGGTAGCTGGACTACGCGTCAAGCAGGATAAAGAGTGGTAGAAAAACTATATATATATATATATATATATATATATATATATATAAAGTGTGGTTGACTGGGGAGTTATCGTGACGCAGTTGTGTATGTTTTCTCGAAGCGACTCACGACCCCGGCATGCGTGAATCAAGGCTGCCCCTCCTCCCAAGACAAGACAGGACAAGATAGCCTCGCGAGTGACGAGCTACACAGGATGCAGCGCCAGCCCATCTTGACTGAGGTTGGCCCCATGTCACGAGGTGGGCGCGGAGTCGTCGTGACTAGGGGGACTGACTGGAGGAGGTTGGGCCACGACGGGGTCAGAGAACAGGGCATCGAGCCCGCCGAAGCTCCTGAAGGGGCCTCTGAGAACCTGTCATGTCGACAGGGGTGGGTGTAACATATGTGTGTGTCTGTGTGTGTGTGTGTGTGCGTGTGAGTGTGAGCTGTTGGCGCCCAAACTGCGCCGACAGGAACGCCATGTTATGATGTGGCGCACCAAAAGTGGCTGGTGTATGTGTGGCTCGTCCTGTGGCAGCGTGCCCTAGTGTGGCTGTGAGCCTGCATAGCCTCATCTATCCGGTTGTGGCTTAGGCGGTTTCTTCCTTTCTTCCTCCTCAGCCACATCTCGCTTGACCTTGAAATCTGTACCACAACACCAGGAACTCCATCACCATCTCTGCATCGCTGACCTACCCAGACATCAAGGCTCAGGGGATGGATGATATATCTAGACGTAGCCGCCCTCGCGCACCAGACCTTAAGTGTCTGGGTGGTCCAAAGGCCGGCCATGAGTCGATTGCAAGTCAGCATCGTGGGTTGCACGCGGTGCCCAAATGTCTAGGACCTCATCGCACGTCTTTCCATTTCGCTGATCTGGCTTGCGGCAGTGATGTAACCTACGGGTGAGAAGGGCCTCCCAGCTCTGGACATGGCAAGGGCACCCGCACCGTGACGAAGGCGTCGGCTCGATCAACAGCCAAGCTGCTATCTTCGGGCTTCATATAAAGGCCGAACAAGCCGGCGAGCCGGGTTTTCAAGGCCACGACTCCTGAATCCTTGCGTAATAGCTCATCACGTCGAGCCCCATCACTTATATGGGTCGCCAATATTGGCATACGTAACTTCTCACGGCGGTCTCGAGCATCACCATTCACACCGCAGGCCACAGCTCGAATTTGTTCAAAGGCCGTTTGATTAGTATGTCTTTAGCGTTGATGAGACGTGCATCCGAGCGGCCTTGGACTCCCCTGTCGCCGCACCGCGGATGGGCTTACCGCCGCATGTTCGTCACTACAGTCCGGGGCGCGCGACTGATCAGCGAGTCGGCGGCCAAAACGGCCTAGATCGATCTCGGAAGAAGACTGCTGCAGCCCGGCCAACTTGGACCATCCCTCCCGCGCCATCTCGCGGTTGACACAGGCGTGCATAATCGGGTTATGCTGGCGATGTCGGCTAGGCAAGTCGCTTAATTACCCGGCATGGTGCGCGAAACCAAAGAATGACCAAGATGGCATTAACTGAAGCTCGTGACTCGTTCCACACCGGGCACAATGGCTTGTTTCGAGGGCACTCAGATTGCCTGTGATAAACAATACCTAATTGCGAGAGACGGAAACATGGCATTCTCTCACCATCCATTCACCAGTTCGCCAACTGACCGCCTACTCGTCCGCAGCGTACAAAACCGTGGACTGGTTTACGTGTAGCCAGCTGCCCTGGGTCCGGTAATCTCCAGAATCGCACCACAAACAGACCATCGGCAAGTGGATCACCCGGGGTGGAGCAGCCTTGGGATATGGGCGCCTCCATGCCTCTTCTAGCTGGACAAGCAACAGCTCTGGGCCCGTAGTTCTGGTTAGTCTTCCGTGATCCCTGTTGCGGCGTCTGACACTGACAGAGAGACCCAAAGGGAAAGAGAACGAATCGAAACAAAGGCGATCAGATGCCGCCTCTGGACTCGTCACTTTTATCAGCGATAGAGCCAACCAATGGTAGAAGCAAATACCAACATGCAGTATTCGTATTCGGGATGTGCTCTTCTATCCTCATTCTAGAAGCACAGATTTGACCTTGGCGAGATGGGAAAATACGCCGCTTTGTCGTACCACCTCCTGAGCGGATGCCGGTGAATTTTGATCATGCCACTGGCATCTGCCCCCCCTTGCACCGTCCCCGAGTCTTCAAACAACGATCCAAAGCCCGCCATGTCCACACGCGTAGCTGTTGGTGCACGAGATCCAGGTCCCCGCTGGATGTACATGAATGTTTATAAGTCCTTAAGCCGACCCCTTCTCTGCTTTCTTGCGCCCTTGTTAAACCCGGTATCGCTGTTTCGTCGTGCTTTGAGACCAGCCTCTCTCGTCTTTCTTCCAGTCACTCTCTCGAGCTCTCTCACTCAAGTTGGGGTGCACCCGACACCATGTCGTCCTGGTAAGCCACCACCAGATACTCTGTTCTTGCGATGCATAGTCCGACATCAGCTTACACATTCAACGCAGGAACTCGACTGTCGTGTTCCCCAACCACACCTCCACACAGGACTATTTCGGCGTGCTCGACGACGTCAGCAGGTACAATGTCCAGCTCAACGTCGTTGAGCGCCTCTGGGCGGCATGGTATCTGTGGATGCAGAACGACATCCTCGCCACAGGCATCATGACCTTTGTCATGCACGAGATCGTTTACTTTGGCCGCAGTCTGCCGTGGATCATCATCGACGCGATCCCCTGTTTCCGCAGATGGAAGATCCAAAAGGTGCGCGCCTCCGGCCCCTTCGCCGCCTTCGCGCTGCGGATGATCGCACGTAGTCCTGTCAAACCCATAGAATAGACGTCGACTGACGATTCCTCCAGCAAAAAATCCCAACCTGGAAAGAGCAGTTCGAATGCGGCGCCCTCGTCCTCTTCAGTCACTTCACCGTCGAGCTCCCGCAGATCTGGCTCTTCCACCCCATCGCCACCTGGTGCGGCCTCGATTACGGCGTGCCCTTCCCGCCCTGGTGGAAGACGGCCTATCAGATCGCCATCTTCTTCGTCCTCGAGGACACCTGGCACTACTGGGTGCACCGCGGCGCCCACTGGCCCCCGATCTACAAGTCCGTCCACAAGATGCACCACTACTACTCGGCGCCCTTTGGCATGACGGCCGAGTACGCCTCTCCGATCGAGGTCATGTTCCTCGGCCTCGGCACCGTCGGGTGCCCCGTACTCTGGGTCCTCATCACCAAGGACCTACACCTATTCACCATGTACTCGTGGATAGTCTTGCGGCTGTTCCAGGCCATCGACAGCCACTCCGGCTACGACTTCCCCTGGTCCTTGAGGCACGTTCTCCCCTTCTGGGCCGGCGCCGAGCACCACGACGTGCACCACGAGAAATTTATCGGTAATTATGCCTCGAGCTTCCGGTGGTGGGACTACATCATGGACACCGAGGCCGGGGCCGAGGCCCACCAGCGCAGACGCGAGAAGAGGATGGCCAAGGCCAAGAAGGCCCAGTAGATGCTTCGGGAGTATCTCCAGACGGGACTGGACAGGAGGGAAATCAAGCATGGTGACATAGTATTTCCCGGTAGGGTTCGAAGAGGCTGGAGTCGTTTAAAAGGACCAGGCTGTGTGTTCTTTCTTCTACGGCCGTAATGACAACCTTGTTGTAAAGAATTGTAATTTGACTAGATTTATACACGAAATGTGACGATCTCTATCGTCACCTTCTTTAACGTTACACAACGTCAAATTGATTGCCCTCGGCAACGAACATTACGTATTCGGGGGGGGGGGGGGGGGGGGGGGGTCATCTTGGCAGCTTAGTAGGTAATGCGACGGATCCTCGACTGATGATTTGCCTTGACCAGCCTGAAGACAGATTCTGCCAAACTCCAACTACTGGGACCTGTAAGACGTTTCGACAAAATCGTAACCTTTTCTCGAATATATTGGTGGGAATGGCCCAAGACGGAGCCTATTAACCTGTTATTGATTTACACCACCTGAGAAGGTTTCGTAGACTTCGTCCATAAGCCCGAAAAGGGTGTGTGCTACGGTACTTAGGAGAAACCCTTACCTCGTTTTAATCCCCTAGCCACCAGTTTTTCTATCATACGACCTTCAAGATGCTTTGAGTATCCCCCGTTCCTGACTTCGATCACCCTATTCAGGTTTTGACATGAGTTTGGATCCATATCTAACGCAGTTGGCGGTGTGCACTAAAGCAAATGGCGGGTTTCGACAAGCTGCTCCTTGGAAAAGAACATTGTGGCTGGGAAGAGCATGTGAAAGAGCGGAACAAATTAGGCGATCTGATGGATTCTTATGCAGGCATCAACGCATAAAATATTAATAGTAAGCTGCACGCCGAGCCCATTCATAGTGGCAGTGCTTGATTGTACGAGAAAAAGGGGTTGTCATAATCTTTCGATAAACGAATGGCTATTCGCTGGCTAAAGCAAAGGACCGGCCTGCATCACCACCACTTTGTACGTATGCTCTGGTCTTTGGGTCCTAGACTGGTCATGTTTGCTCCAAGTTGAATTGCCTGTTAGATCGAGCTAGTAGCAGGTAACCAAAGTCCCTTATCTGTCACCATATCAAATCTCGTCCTACGCATATTCGATGAAACCATGCATGTAAGCCATACGCCGATGCGGCACGCCGTATCCCCTTTTAGGCTGCGTCCAAGTGATGCAAAATCGGGCCAAAAACGGTCCAGGATTCTCATTGAGAATCTCACGATGCACGTGGATAAACCACGTCGTTGAGAAATGTCATCAAAGGTGATCTATAGATGGGTTGACCTGTCCTTATGGTTCATCTTTCTCATCCCCATAATCATCAGCAGACTTCGTCGCTGAAGACTGCAGTTCTTGTGTTCTATTTCAGCATCTTACCCTCACTAAAGCCATGCTGCGCTACCTTCTTCCTGCCCTGGCCGCGACGGCGGTCCTAGCCAAGACTGACCAAGAGGGCTGCACGTCCTTCACATCGACCGTCACCGTCGACCCCTCTCTGCGGGATATGGCAACACCTACGAGACTGTGATCTGGTATGTCCCCAATACGCTCAAAATATACAGAGGTGTCAACTGCGGCGGCAGTCGCGCGCCGCCTCGTAAGGTTCCTGGCTGTCCAGCATATCCCAGCACCAACACCGTCACCACGAGTTTCCTCGCCACCAACCCAGCCGCCAGACCAACGGCCACACCTACGTCTCTAGCTACAAGAACGCTGGAGACCACCCCAACCGCCAAGCTCACCCTCGTGATGCCCATGTCTACAGGAGAGAGCGTGCCCACAGGCCAAGGGAGCAGCGCATCAGAGGGCAATAGCACGATAACGGCTACTGATCTTGCTGCGACTGCTACCACCCTAGCAACAGACACAAGCGGCACTCAGAGCAGAACAGAGGCGGTTTCGACCACCGGGGTTCCAGCGGGGGCGGGGCCAACAGCTCGAGCGGGTGTGGCGGCAGTTCTCGGTCTTGCTGTCGCCGTTATAGCGATTGCTTGAACCCCAAAGATGCCAAGTTGAAATATGAGGAATAGCAAGCTGGTTACTTAAGCGATGACTAGGCATGCCAAACGAGCGATCAAAAACACCATGCTCTGGGATCCAAAACAGAATATTTCTGGCGCGGAACAGTACCCTGTAGTTCCCGCCGGTATTGACAATGGCTTGTGCTTCGTCTGCAACAGGTCTTGATACACTTGGCAGAATGTCTACGCGTAGCATGTGCCCGGCGTTATGGTGCCAACTTGGGCTTAACTTAATGTTTAGACAATACACAAGATGAACTTTTGTCAATGCTCCGCAGTTAAACGCCTGATACTTTAAAGCTGCTGTGACCAATTCCCCAAGGCCCCGAATTGCTGTCTCCGACCTGACGAATCCGACAACTGAACTCGATCTGCATTGCAGAACCCCGCAAGCCCAGCTGTGATCTACCTGGATTAGCGCAGTTATTCCTGGTCCATTTAACCTTTCGGCTGGGTGGACGGCATGAATCACGGATTTGAACCAGAGGCCGAGACCGACAAATTAAGCCAGCGAGGCCGCCGCGGGCCGCCGCGCGCCTCCGAGGCATCAACGACACCCCCACACTTGACAGGTCCCCAGTTCCCGGCAAGCCTGGGTCTGCTTGAGCTTTGAGTTTCACATGAGGGATTGAGGCATTCACGACACGTTTTATGCGCGGTTGTATATAATGCGGTGGCCTCTTGCGCGATTGTTAGTCGGCCGTTAAACCCGAGGACACAAGTTTGGCGGCCGGTGACAAAACTATGCAGCAGGGTAGGTAGCTGTTCAGCCACCTTCTGCTATTCGCCGTCCAAGCTTCATCCGTCGAGTTTCCATGCACCGCACATGTACCGTCTCGGGACGAGCTGAAGACCGGCAGCATGGAACGGCACTTCCGCACAGCACATGAATCAAGGCGGCACCGAGGAGAAGCTTATATAAGTTCCATAGGCCCTCTCGGCTTCCAACGCAGAAACTACAAGGGCATCTTCATTCAACAATCTATCAATCTAACCCAAAACGAGAATCAAGTACCGTAGATCGGACACTTTCTCGCTACATCAACTGTTCGCCTCATCTTACCACACACATTTGGACAAAATGGCTTTCTTCGTTGTTATTACCCCCAAGATCCGTGCCGACAAGAAGGACGAGTTCCTCGCGACCTGGCCCAAAGTCAAGGAGGAAATTTCCAAGCAACCCGGCGTTGTTGGCGTGGCCGGCGGTCAAGTTGTCAACGAGAGCGGGACGCCCGTGACCGAGTTCAAGTATATTCAAACCTTAGGTGAGTGTCGTCCCATACCTGACAACTCTCGCCTGCACATCTGACAAAGGTTTCTACAGTTTTTAACTCGGAAGCGGACGAGAAGGCTTTCGCCGAGTCGGCGTGGGCGAAGGAGCATGAAGCCGATGTCGAAAAGTTTTGTGAAGGTCCGCCACGCATCGCGAAGTTCGAGACGGGCCCTCTTCCCGCCGAGAAATCCAAGGCCTTTACGCAGTTCACATTCATCAATATCACAGACGAAAGCAAGCATGAGGAGGTGAAGCAAGCCTGGCAGGATCTCGTTGCAGCCCTTGGCCAGACCCCAAAGTTCGGTGGAATGGGTATAGGTGACGAGCAGGGTACTGGAATGGGTGTTCTGGGCTGGGATAGCGAAGACGTAAGTCGCCTACATCGGCGTTTCCCAAATTTCGATGCTGACGGTTTGAATACAGGAAGCTGGAGCGGCGTATACTAAACCGGAGGCCCAAGCTGCTTTGCAAAAGTACAAAAGCTTTGGAAAAGACGTGGCAGTCTTGGTCAAGCTAGAGGCATGAAAATGCAAATGAAGGGATCATGATCAGTTATCTTTGCAGAAGAATATGTTCTCACCAGCTTCCGTGGTAGAGTTGGCTAAGCTGAATATAACTGGTTGTCCCGCTTTGTTTCGTGTCAACTAAAGGATACGTGGTCCATACCTGTGCTGGTTGCCTTCTCCGGCCGTGCAGCATGATTATCACAGAATATGCCCAAAACCGGTGCCCTTGTGGTATTAAAAACTTCTTATAATACTCTCAAAAGCGATGCAAGAATAAGGCGAGCAGTTTGATGCTGCCAGCAATACACTCTTCCCACGTATCTGCCTTCAAGCCAATGACGCTCGAACAAAAATAACGAGAGCGAAGGAACACCTGTTACCTGTTTCCGATGGCTTGAACGGAAGGGATTTGCTCACAGATGTGAATGCTGCCAAGATTATAGATGAATTCAGGGAACAAATCAACTTCTAGTGGCGTTTACTGTAATGTGACTACCTTCTCAGGCTTGTATGAATGTACGTAAAATGTAAATCTTTTGACACTTATAGTAATTACGTCACACTACGGTGTAGTAGATGGTATTCATGACGTTTAATTCATTAAAGACTTCTCGAAGATTAGCGAAAACAATGAGGATAGTTTAACAATTACTGATTCATACATCCAATAACGAACCCCGAGGTAACTATCACAAGCTAGGCCCCTGATGACCAACAACCACAGTGTCGGCCTCGCCTTTGGAAGACCTCCCCGAATCAACGTGTCTACGACGCAGGTTGCCCGCATCATCGTGCTCATTATCCCATTGGGCCAGTTCAGAGAGCGGCACTTGAACAGGACGATGCGTGTTGGCGCCATTGTCGGAAGCCTCAAGGATTTCTGGTCGGATTCTGTAACCTTTCCATTTGGGCAACAACCACATCCAAGTGGCGTAATAAAGAAAACAAACAATGATGCTAATATCATCAAAGTCAGCGATGTATCTCCCACACCATAAAGAAGATTAGGGGACTTACATAGCAATGCCGACGACGCAGTATGTTGCATACCAGAAGTTGACGCTACCTGAATACGGACCATTCTTTGGTGGCCACCAAGGCATGACAAGGATATAGACTTGAATCAGGATGAAGAAAATGACTGTTACATGCCACGACTTGAATTCCGTACGTCCCAGATTGGCGGCCGGGTGCGAATAAGATAGACACCAAACGCCATGACAGAATGGAAGATGCCGTCCGGGTACGTCTTCAAGCTGACGGCTTTGGGTACATTAGCGATGGCACGTCTCGCAAGAAGAACGGATACTGACCAAACTGGAATGCATCTCCAGCAGGGGGGACAACAATCATGATGTCGCGGTGCCTTCAAGGCATCGCGCAGCCTTGTGGGGATCCGACCGGGAGCCCAAAAGCGAGTTTATTTAAATTCAGCGCCCACTTCCCCTCATAAGAGCCGCGTACTGGTCCATTAAGAGCTGGTACGCGGGCAGCTGCTCTGCGGGGAGCGAGCCACCTACGAGGGCGTCGATTGCGGAGCGAATGGCAGCCACTTGACCCTCGTTCACAACGGCAACAGCCGTGCTGGAGGGGGCAAGGCCAAACGAAACCGCGCCAACTGATGTGTTTACGCTAGATCTGCCACCGAGCACGCCCTGAGGCGGTGCCTGGGGGGTAGGCGTTACTAACGCCACCTCGTCGCTCTTCTGTGTACCAACTTGAGGATCCCCGTGAGGGAGACTGGCCTCAAAGGCAAGACGGCTTCGTAACGCGCTAGTTGCTCGGCTGAGGACCTGCATCACTATGTTAGAAGCAAACTAAACTTTGCGCTGGAAACATACACTAGGAGCACTGTTGCTACGCTTTAGAAAAACGATTAGAGCAAAGTGAATGGGGCAAAACCCTGTGGGAAACGCGAATAAGTTGTGGTGTCTAAGCTAAGTTCCGTGCGAAATAATGAGAGGGGAAAATGACCCCCTTGAAGGCTGTGGGCCCTCTGCCTCAGGCTCCAATGGCCTTAGGCCTAAACAAGTTGGCCGATGACAAGTTGGCGCCTACGCCACTGCTAACTATTCCTCTTCCCCTAAAAAGAATAAAGCTATTACTACCCTGATTATTATATCTTTATCCTTCTAAAGAAATTAGTCTGTAAACACTAGTAATAGTCTGTTCTTATCCCCCTAAAAAAGAATAACTTAGTGTGCTAACCTAATATAAAATAGCCTTTCCCTAATATTATGATTCTGCTGCCTAATAATGCCTTCTTAAACTTCCCTAGGATGCTATTAATTGGTTCTAAATGCTTTAATGCTTCTTTATAACCTCTAGTTGTATTACCTAGTCCTTAATATATAGGAGGTCTCTAAGTACTAATCTAATTAATTAAAGTATAATAGTTAGTCTTAAAGACTATCCTCTAATAGTAAGCTTTAATATTAATGTTAAGACAATAGAGTATAAAATAGTTAAGGCTATCTAAGTATATAGTCTATAGGTAATATTAAAGGTTCCTTAGTAAAGTGGTTACCTTATCTTAAAGGGTAGGGTTAGTGTAGATAATTTAGAGCTAAGTAAAGCCTTTACCTAGTTCTCTATAGTATTAGAAGATAACCTGTAGATAGTTATCTACTGTAGTTAAGTCTTAGTTATGCCTAGGGCTAGCTTAGAAAGAAGTATTAACTATCCTTTACTTAACAAGGATACTAAATACCTAGAGGTATTTAATAAGTTCTGCCTTGTTAGTTAGTTAGAGTATCTAAAGGATATTAGTATAGGTAGAAGTGTACCCTAGATAAGCACTAATAGTATAGCCTAGAGTAATTGCGTAGACAGTGCTACCTTGTCTAACTTGGTTAATGATTCTAAGAATAACTTATAAGGTCCTATAGTAGACAGGTTGTATAGTAAGATCTCTTAGGGTAGCCAGGAGTAGGTTAGCCTTAGCAACAGTTAGATTAACTGTAGTATACTACTAATAGGCTCTAAATCTAAAGCCCTAATACTAAGAGACATTAACTATATATTAGTAATAATTATTAGGGTCTTTATAGAAGTCCTATAGTAGTAGGTCAAGAGGCATTAGTACAGGGGGAGTAGATCTAGCTTGTATAGGGAGTTCTGCCTAGGGAGGGGATATTATTATAACATTATTATCTTTATCCTGTTAAGGCTAAGATTATAGGGTAAAAAACACCTCTTTACTTCTATTAGATGCTAATATAGTGCTCTAGTCTAGTGTAATAGGTTAAAGTTAGTTAAGTTAGTTCTAAGCTTTTGCTTACTTTTGCTTATTAATTATCTTTTTATCTTCCTCTTTTATAACTTAGCTTTTAGTAACTTAGTACCTATTAATTAGATTAGAGTTATCCTTCTAATTCTAGTTAGGTTAGTTAATAACTTAGTTCTTATTATATAGAATAGAACTATATCCCTAAGGTTAATTAGCCTAGTTAATTTAGTTATTAGCTACTAATATAGGAAGCTTAGGCTCTAAATCCTTAGCTAAAATTAGGTCTAGTCTGAGGGTCCCCTAAAAAGGCATTGCGTCCTGGCTAATCTGAACAGTAGCTAGTGGGATTCTGTCCTGTTATTTCCCTAATGGGATTAGTAAGCCTGACTGTAACTATAAGGAGGGGGAGGAATTTAGGCAGAAGCTATTTATGCTAGTAGTATAGCGACCTAGTAAGATAAGTGCAAGATTAGGGGAGTAGGGAGTAAAGGGATCCCCTTGTCTAACGATAGTATACCTGCTAGTGACCTATACTAGTGCTAAATAATCTTATTAATTAGGCAACTATTGTTCTAATTAATTAGGATCTGTTCTAAGACAGTAGTATAATCACGCTTAATCCTAGCTTACTCCTGTTGCTGCTAATTATTTAGAACTGACTATGTAAGCTAAATAGTGTTGTAGGACTCTTAAAGGCTAGAAGCTTGACTAGTAGAGTAGTTAATAGCTATACGCCTAAGGTCTTCTTTATAAATGCCCTCTATAAACTATTAAATTAACTGCTTTAGAACTATTGCCTTAGCTAGGGATAGTGGACTAGAAGCTACTAGATCTTGTCTACCTGCTTATTGTAAAAAGGTATACGCTTAATTATAATAGGTAGGCAACGCCTTGTTATATTCCTAATAAAGGGTCTAGATATTAGCTGTTTCCTTAGGCTTATTATTTAGCTACAGTAAGAACTGTTCCTTTAGCGCTAACTTAATCTTATTAAGGTTAGCCTTAGATGCTAGGCTTTGTTAAGTAAATTAAATAATGTTAGATAAGTAACCTAAATTATCTAGGAAGCTAGTAGCCTTGCTATTATAGAATATGTTAATAGTCCTAATGACTTGGTCTAGAAATAAGCAAGGTTAGATTTGGAACTTCTTAAACTTAAAGTAGAGTCTAGATAACTATTGTGTAATAGAGGTTTTACTACTAAAGGTTAAAAAGCTAGTAAAACTTAGCATAGGTGGTTATAGGGGCAAAGGTGACGCTGTCTAGTGTCTATTAGGGCTAACTAGTACTAAGTGTTAAGGGTAAATTAATTACTGTTAATAAGGCAAGGTCTACTAATAACCTTGCTAACTAATCTAGGGGTCCTAATAGAGCTAATAAGTATTACCTATATTATATTATTATACTTAGGTCCTAAACTAATAGTTAGGTTAATAAAGGTGTTAAGAGCCTTCTTTACTGTTGTAAACTCCTTAAATGTTCTCTTGATTTATAGCTAGAGGCTTTAATTAGGATCTTTGGAATTAAGAGTTAAATGGGGTCTATGGTAGACTAGTTCCCTCTATAAGGTTAGTAGTGTTTAGGGGTAGTATTTTAGAAGGAAGTAGGTGCTAAGAGGTTAGTGCTAACTAATAATATAATAGTAGCGTTTTTCTAGTTAGCACCTACTGTGTGTACTCTATAAGAATAAGGCCTTTGAATTACTAGGTAGTACTCTTAATAGTTGTAGTTCTTTAGAACAGTAAGGCCTCCTTAATAAATGCTGTAATATTGTCTTCTGTAGAGGCGTTGTTTAGAGCAGAAAAGGGGGTCCTGAATAGAGAGAACAGCGAAGATGCTAGCTTGCTTATTAACGCTATAGAAGATGTCTACTCTAACAAGGCAGTAAATGGCTAGCTAAGTTGCTAGTGATTAGTTCTGAATAATGGTGACTAAGTTACAAGGGGGTATTTAGATTCTAATAGTAGCCTTGTAGTTAGAGACAATAAATCTAGGCTAGTGTTGCTAAGCTAAGAGTAAAATAGTGTAAATAGTAACTATTAGTCTACTACGTTAGCCTTGCTAGGGGACGATTAGAGCTGATGGTCGTCAGTAGCCAGGATGATAGTCTTTGGTTCTAGCTGTTTGCTCTTGTTAGGAAGCATAGTTTTTAATCTATAACCATAGGAATCTTAAGTTAATTAACTTAACAAGGCAAAAGTAGGCGATAGCCTTATCTTTCTTTTGTTTCTAGAAGGGGAGACTAGAAAAACGATTAGAGTAAAGTAAATAGGGCAAAACCCTATAGGAAACGCAAATAAGTTATGGTGTCTAAGCTAAGTTCTGTGCGAAATAATGAGAGGGGAAAATGACCCCCTTGAAGGCTGTGGGCCCTCTGCCTCAGGCTCCAATGGCCTCAGGCCCAAACAGCTTTGCAGCCAGAAAATCCCCTGCTAAACGGCAGAGCTCAGATCCCTCTAGTATAGTGACACAAGGCACCTTGCCAATAGCGCATCGCTTGCACTTTCGGGACCGGCTACTGACTGTCGGCTCGCACCACCCTGAAGAGTCACCATGAAGCGCGCTTGCAAGGCACCTCATACACTCAACCCTCTTCAGGGCAGGCTCAGGGGTCCTAGCCTGAGCGACCTTCTTCTTGTCCTTGTCCTTGTTCCTTGTAGGAGGCATCTATTCGAAAGGTCAGCCTTGTGTAAGACTTCAACGATTGAAGTGAGCCGCGGCGGATCGCGCGCGCGAAAAAAAAAGGCCAAAAACGACAACAGGGCGATACCTTGTGGGGATCCAACCGGAGCCGGAACATCTATTAATCTTTATCCACCGCCCGGATCTACCATAGAGACACGTATATCTGCGAGCCGAACCAGGCAGTCCAGAGCGTAGATAGGTAAGCCGTTTTCCTATGACTTTTCCCACCCGAAAAAGGACCGCGTGACACCTGATGGATGTCATGACCCACTTGAGCATGTAGGGTTCGATAGGGGTTCCGAAGGGCTTAGTATTGACGCAGAACTCCGGCCACGGCAGTACACCTTGCCTACAACATGCTTGTTAGCAGGATAAATAATACTATGAAGAGTCGGTGTCACGTACCGTCCGATCTCACGGATGACGCGAGAGGCACCAATCAAGGTTGCGAGGAAGTTGCCAAAGGCGCTTAGGAGAACCAGAAAGTTGAGGGCTTGCTCGGCAGGTCCGCTGCCGAAGACCTTGGTAAAGAACACGGCGGCAGCAATTTCCTTGGACGTCCTGAATCCAGCATGGGCACTGGTTATTTGTGAGCAATATTACATACTCACAGCGTGAGGATAGTATTCTCGCCTGCGGCAAAGTAGGCAATATTGCAGAGCATGTAGAGTAATGAGACCAGAGTGACCGAGACTGTCGCATTGCACATTGACCAGGGCAGATACCAGCTCATTGCCATTGTTCGTGGTTCCCCGAAATGAGTTTCGGAAGTTGGCAGTCGGATCGGGGATGTGGTCGATATTACCGCCAAGGACAACGAGACCAGTGATGGAAATGAAAACAAGAGTGATGAGCTTGACCCCGCCGATGATATTTGTGGCCCAGAGAGAGTACTTGTTGTGCGCGATGACGCAGACGACAGCGAACGTGTAAGCGGCAATGGCAACACCCTTGAGCTCCCAAGCGGATGGAGCTTTCCCGGCAATCCTCCACAGGTATCGAGACAAGACTATGCCATGTTAGTGAGTTTGCCAACGGTAGAATGTGTCAGTTTTCGTACCAATAGCGTTGCTACTGGTGAAAGAAAGCAAGATAGACTGCACCGCGAAAGCAATAGTGAAGAAATGCTTTGGTCGCGGATAGGCCTGTTCGAGGTACACGACTCCGGAACCACTGCGGTTGGGAAGATAGCTAGCCAGTTCTAAATAGACGCTAATTCCAGCGAAAGCCATCAAAGAACCGATGGTCCAATAGAGCAAAGCCAGCCCAACGGACCCAGTATCATTCAGGATGGGTGCGGCTGTGAGGGCCTGTCAGTATCGCCGAACCTGACAGTGTGGCCTGGAGATCTTACGCGTCGAAAAGATACCAGTGCCAATCATCTGGTTGACGTTGAGAAAGATGACGGTAAGCCATCCGACGTGGTATCCCAACGGCGAGTGCTTCTCGACTGGCGCTCCAACAGCCTCTTGGTAAGAAGGTTTCGAACCGTTACCTCCCTTCGCAAGCATGTACGCGAGGTCGCCATCGCGAATGATGGAGTGTTCGGAATCAGACGCCTCGACATCGACGGCGTGGACGCCAGTGTCGCTGGACTTGAACCGCGAAGTAAACTTGGAGAACACCATGGCCGCGGGCGGGTCCGGGATGGGTGTCTCAAGTCGTCTTAGAGAGGACGAAGACGGGTCACTGAGTGAACGGGCAAACACGGAGGAGACAAAATAAGGGCGGTCAATCACAGATGAAGATTTGGAGCAATAAAGCTTCCAAGGATGAAAAGGCGTTTATGCAGGGGAGGGGGGGAGAGCTCAAGAGGACCGCAGCGGAATGGAACATAAGTTGCGTTCCACCGAATCATCTTTAAACCACTGAAACATCAGATGGCCGAGCCTGTTGATGCTCAAAAAAAAAAGGGGGGGATCAACGCCAAGTGCCAAGGAGATACCACGCTCGTCTATAACATGGGGCGACGATGGTACGGTACAACGCTCCATCTCATCGCTTGCAACTTGCAGAGGCTGACCTGTGGTTTGCACTGGCTCGCCCAGGTGCAGGGAGAGTGATTATCGACCTTCCTATGTTAGCCAGAGCCAAGAAGCACGCAAGTGTGGCAGCTCATGGCGATTCCTGCAGCAAAACTGCGGGTGTGCCCGCCAAGCGTGGACTGCCACAGTGATCCCGGGTTCTGCAATGAGCTACTTTTGAGGTGCAACCTTATATAAACCCTGCCATCGCTTCCATCCTATAGGGCCATGCCGCTCACCCTTCTTATCTAGGGTACAATTCTCGGGGCAAATGTCACCTCAAGGAGAACTCATGCCTCGTTCGGCCAAGGACCTTAGCTCGTGTTCCGGCGCCTTGGCATGGCCTAGGATCTTCCTGAGAAAGGCTCTCGAGCGGCGGCCATCGGCGAAGCTCTTACCAAGAAACGTGCTTCATCGATGGCCTCAGATAAAAGCTTTTCGTCACGGCCCAAAACGAGTAGTTGGAACAATCAATCAACAGGGAGGATGCTTATTTGCATACCTCTACGTTTTTGTGATTCGTTTAAGTGAACAAACCCTTGCGCACAACGTCTTGATATCGATTGCGTGCAAACCGAACATGGACACAAGCCGCCTCATGGCCGGCCTTTGCTCTTGCTTCCTTCACTCCGGATGAACGGCTCGAGCGGGAACACCTGGGCCTCGGGCGTGATGCCTTCGTACAGCTGAGCCCATCTCTCCTTCAACGGCTCGGGCGTCTCCCACGCGTACTCGGGGTCGCGCAGCCATTGTCTCAGCAGGTGGCGTCTACAAATGAGGCAGAGCCGCCCTTGTCAGCGGTTCATCCTTTTGTCTTGCGTCATAGCCGACAGAGTCCGCGTGAGCCACTCACTGTTGTTCAGGGGTGTCGGTGAACCCGTCCCGGGCATGGAAGATGCCAATGTTGTTGGCGTATTGGATGTCGCCCTTTTGGAAGTTCAAGTTCACAGCAAACTTTTCGCCCAGGAAGTGAAGCGTGTCGAGGGCTTCAGCCTGTGCCTCGGAAACCGGGGGGATCTCGTCACTCCGAGGTAGTGCGCCGTAGCCTACGAAATACCTACGGGCATACTGGACTGCCAGGCGCTCTGGAGTTGTTTCGGTCGCGGGTTGGTAGTGAACAAGAGGTCTGGATGTGAAGCACTTTTGAGGTGTCCCGAAGCTGCGCACATGCAAGCGTGAGTTGCTTACCACCAACGACCGACCAACGCACACCAAGACTCGACGGAAACATTACTTACACTTCGAAGTGCCAGTCTTCAGTGAGAGTGTGGATGAGATCCGGGCGCGTGCTCGCGATCTCGTTGTAAACCCGTGCGATGCTCGCCAGCTTACTCTTGCCGCCCTCGGCTGCCGTCGACAGGGCGAATAGTGAGACAACGTCCCCGGCGTCAGTGTGGAACACCTGCTTGTCTGCAGTGTACGCAGGGCTACCGATTTGACCCTTCTCTTTTGTAAGTGTCAAATCCTTGATGTGTGTGAGGACCACGTCGGCTGGCTTGCCGTCGTATTGCCGGTCTTGACGTCCGCGTTGGGGGGCAATATGCGAGGACAATCCTGCGTAAATAATTATGTTCTCTTCCCTGGTGTGCTCGTCGACCCTAAGCCCGCGGATGACGAAGAATCCGTGGCCGTTGTGCAGCTCATAGGACAGCTTGCGGAGTTCAGCATGTAGTTTCGGCAGCGGGAAGGTCTCCTGGCTAATGTGACCAAGCGACAAACCCAGCGCTGGGATGCATCGTGAGTTAAAGGAGATTACATATACACATGACTCAAACTCACACTTGAAATGAGCCAACGCTCCATCAAGCTCATCGAGCTGATCCGTTGTCAGGACGTATGTCCAATCATATTCGTTGGCCAGCGTCGCACCGTCCCAGACCATATCATTCTTGAACTGTGCGGGAAGGCCCTCTGGCAGGGTCTTGGGAAGACCGGGCTCCTGGGTTCGGCGTGCCACCCGAGCTTGGAACTTCTGGTAGTCTGGGGCATATTGGATGTCCGGCTGGGCGGGTCGGGCGATGGTAACGGCGGCCATTGTGTAACACTGGGGGATTCCCTGGCTCGACTGTTTGGAAAAGTAAGCGAGCTGTTGTTGCGCCGGATTTGCTGTCTTCTTCCGACTAGTCAGTTGCTGCATCCTCTGCGGCGAGAGTCTTTATTGATGATGGGGAGGGCGGAGAGGTCATCGGCGGTGGCGACATTCGATTATCAGATGTCGTGCCGCGAAGAAAGTGGGGAAACGCTCACCTAGATACCGTATCCACTGGTTAGATCCGGACAAAGCTAGAGAAGCACGCTAACGGCAAGGAGTATCGCGGCCGCTGTAAGGAGTATAGTGTGCTGGCAGAAACAGGGATCTGTATATATCTATTTTCTTACGTAACGGTTGTGTTCTCACTAACGGCGGGCTGGCTAGTGGGCTGGAAGGGGTGACCGCCTTCTATGCTAGGACTAGCGTGGCTAACATCCACTAGCCGTTATAGGACATCTACTAGCTTTCTCTGGCTAGCGGGCTTCCTAGCTTTGTCCGGATCTAACCAGTGGATACGGTAATCGATTATCTGATAACTGTCAGACGTGACGTGACCCCTCACTCAAAGCAACTTGGATTCTTCTGGACCCCAAATCAGAGAACAGTCAGCTCAGACACTAGTTAAAGAAGAAGTGACCCTTGGAGACACTAGGCCTGCATGCTACGCTTGAGCAGATGATTAATGAACATGTGGAGAGGATATTCGTAGCTGGCAAAGCGGCCAGATTGCTTTGGATTGTGCATTGTCAGATGAACTTTGCCATCCGAGCAAGCCAACCCGAGAAGCTCACTCAAGCTGTTCTCTTACCTTGATTTTACTATGTTCGTCTTCCATCTCTCGGCCATCTCATTCACCTCTCTGTTCGTCTTGAGAATCTTCTCAGGAGCTCCGGGCCAAGCCTTGCGGCACCCCTCCGTGTCGAGAGCCGGACCCCGGTAGACCGCCAGGCCATCCACACCGTCCACACCCTATTCCGGCAACCTTGTCCATCCACTTATAGTTCCCCCTGCCCAATACTCGGAACCCCATACTGGATATCGATCCGCGTTTGAGGGTGGCTGTAATGCTGTTGTAATAGCTGTCGATACCTCGCGCCATATCTGCTTGGAACGGAAACATAGCGGCTCCGCTGCGATGCAGACTCAGCCAAGGAAGTGCATTTTGTCGCGCACGACCCAAACCCTTGATAGAAAGCATCGCATATCACGATGCTAAAGTTGCGGTTCTAAAATGCAATTGCACGGATTCCGTTTATGAAATGAAGTCATACAAGCCTTCATGACGCTTAACAGTTAGTATCTAGAAATACTCATTTAGATAAAAATCATCAGATTATGCAAGTTATCCTATGTATTTAATAGCTTGAATTCCCAAGTGCTATATCAAAGCCGTAGCCTTGTCAAACATTTGGAGCGAACATCTAGCACCGCCGACTTTGTACCGCGCCTTTCGATGAAAGGCTCTTGATAGATCGTGGATGGCAGTGAGGGTTTACAGGTTGACATCTTGAGGATGAAGCTAGAACACGGCCAATATTCGGTCCGAGCAGGTCTGCAATTTCTTTTTCGCCGTATGAGGAAATTTGGGATGAGGTTTGCAATAAGTTGCGGGCCGGTAGGGTAACAAGGGAAAACAAAAACAATATTCGTTGACTGTGATAGTCCCTGCTCATACGCGCTAGGGAAGAGTTCACCAGTCGCCGAGTGGCGGTTGTTGGCAACTGATATGTGTTGTCACGTACCTGATCGTGAAGCTCGGTGAATAATCATGATATCATGAGAGCGTCATCAAAATAAACCATTTCCTGCTTCCTAACGCCTCGCTAAAGTCCAATCTTGCCTTTGAATAATGAAGACAGCATTCAAAGCTAAGCTGTTCAAAAGTTCCAGACCCCCAACTTACATGAGCACCATCTACCAGATATCGCTCGTCGATACTTTCCTTCGTTCTCTCAAAGAGAGCTTACAAAGTTGAAACCAACAATGCCCTCTGCGCAAGCATTCTCCATTCCCGACTTGGGGAATACCGAGACTCTCCGTCCGATAATGCCATCATCGCCTACTTGGATTGAGATCGGCCTTTGCAGTGCCAACTCCATCGTCGAGCCGTTTTCGAGGAAGGAGGCGCCGGAAAACGCGATTCGGTGAAAGAGACCACAGTCTTCGGGCTTTCGCGTAAGGTCTCCAGATTCACTGTTGAGCATCGATCTCGTCAGTAACTGACATCTTTGATGCCGTGTTCATGCAACTCACTGAATAACGACAACCATATCAGCCAATGACTGTAAATCGCAGTCGTTCCCGCCTGTGATCCTTGCATGTGTTGCAAAAGGGCTTGATGGTTCTCCGGGAGTGTGAAATGCAAGATCTCCTCGCAGCCTTGGGCTTGTTCCCGTTGCTTCAAGTTGACTAAATGGGTGGTCGAGAACTGCTAGCGCACCGCCTCGAGGTCTAGTGCAAGTGTCCGGACCACACATATTGGTTGAGGCAGATGAATAGGGAAGCGTAGTGCTGGTTTGAAGAAATGGGGTATTACAGGTTTGATTTAGCCGTAAAATGAAGAGCCTTCGAGGTTTCGTCTTGAAGTAACAACACATATGGCATCATATAAAGACCATGGTCGAACTCGAGAACTCTCTCAAGGTTCTCAATCCGCCTCACTATCCCTGTCGTCCCAAAACGAGCGCGAACGGGTCCGGCTCGGGGCGTCGCTAACAACTGACCGACCAATCATGACTCGGTTTTACCCCAGAGTCGGCAATGCAACTCCCTGCACGTGGGCTTTCGGATGAGCAAGTTAGAGCAGGAATGATCGCATTTAGGCTGTTTGCCTCTCTCAGCAACATCGTAGAGTTACGAAAACTGGAAGACGAAAAAAAAAGCAGCAAAAGATACCATAAGATATAGCATGAATATCATTGAGCATAGACGAATGCCAGTGTGTAATAGTGATCCGCTCACCACCACCCGATGGTCATTGGTCACCGCTCGACGGTAGAGATGGGGAGCCATCAAGGTGCTTGTCACATCATCGGTATCGGCGGAAACAAGAGACCCATCAATGCCAAGATGATGAAATGTGCTCACTGGTACCCCTCTTTCCGATGACCTGTGCTTGTCTTTCTTCCCTCGAACAAACTGACCTCTTCATCACTCTCTCCTCCTCAACCTCGTACTATCAACCTTGGATAGCAAGAATAACCAAAGCCAACGTCAAGAACGTATACAAATCCTGCCCTTATATCACCATGGCCAGCTCACAGTACACATTGCCTAAGCTGCCATACGCTTACGACGTAAGTACCCCTGTACTTATGCTCGCGATCGCGCCCGCTGACCCCTCCTACAGGCTCTCGAGCCTCACATCTCAGCCCAGATTATGGAGTTGCACCACAGCAAACAGTGAGATCACTAGGAAATAGAAAGGAAGGAAGAACAAAGTTGACATGAAGCCATTTGCAGCCATCAAGCATACGTTACAAATCTGAACAAGGCCGTCGAGGCTTACAATGCAAACCCCCTCCAGAATCGTATCGCCGTCCTCGCGGCCCTAAACTTCAACGGCGGCGGCCACATCAACCATTCCCTCTTTTGGGAGAACCTTTCCCCAGCCTCGAGCGCTGATGCCTCGCCCAATGCAGCGCCCAAGCTCGTCGCTGAGATCACCCGTGTCTGGGGCGGGCTAGATCAGTTCAAGCAGGCCTTCAACGCCACGCTGCTCGGTATCACCGGTAGCGGCTGGGGGTGGCTGGTTAAGGACGACGTAACGGGCCTCGGCATCATTACAACGAAAGACCAGGACCCTGTCACCAAGGGCGTGCCCATATTTGGTGTTGACATGTGGGAGCACGCGTACTACCTTCAGGTTCGTAGACACCAACGGAATCTTTTCGAAAAGAGGTGCTAACAGTAGCCGGACGCAGTATCTCAACGGAAAGGCTGCATACGTCGAGAATATTTGGAACGTCCTCAACTGGAAGACGGCGGAGTCGAGGTTTTCTGGTTCCCGGGATGACGCCTTCACGGCCCTCAAGGCGGTTCTCTAGGCGAGTTTTGTTTGAATGTCAGCAAAGCTGCGGACAGGGATCAAAGCTGGGTTTGATTTTGATGCACAGATATTTGCGCAGAAGCAAGGGTTCATTGCAAATAAGTTAGTCTGTTGAGGGCCACTATGCCACTCGAGGTAGCACTGCTGGTCTAACACGAATGCATCGGCCTGGCTGAAGACAAAAGAAAACCTCAATGTCGAGGTACCGTGACGCAATGTGATCCGTCACCAGCAAGTCCACCCGGTTGTGTGACCTCTATCCGTGAAGCGGTGGCAACCCACCCTCCTGGTGGTAAGTCCAAGACAGTCTCGGCTGGCGGTAGGCGGATTCGTCCAGACTTTACTTTCGAACTCCAATTCTTCGAGACTGAGCTGGCCTCTTCGTACGCGCAACACCAACATTACCGGACACCATCACTATCTGGTACGGGGGTGGCGCACGGCTGGTTTCATCTAAATCCTCAGTCATGTGTTGAGGCGATACCATCGCATGGGAAGAGGAGCTCAAAGTTCGGTCAAACAATACTGAGCCAGACAAACGGGTCTCGTCTCGAGGGAACCGCCTGCGCCCGAGCTCCGTCGTATATTCCGAGGGTAATCAAAGACAAACACAGTCAGCGGGTGTGAGACGGACACTTACAACGTGGCATGGATCCAAACAAAAGTTTGCTTCCATGAAGAGGAGGATTACTCCCGTCTTCGCCTAATTACAGAAACAAACCCTTTTTAGTTCTCTACACGTGGTCCATTGCACAGCCCTCATTCTATCTCGGCCATTTCTCAATGTCTGTACTTATGCTCATGCCAACTGACAGATGATACCAGACTCTAAACCAGCATATCTGCGTTACCTGTGGTTCGTACATTGGCTGAAAGAGCCAGAAGACGGTGTCGTTTCCGATTGACTTGTGTAGATCTACCGATTGATGAATGAGGCCATGAATGAAAGACTGAGGTGTTGGGTCCCCATTGGATTACCGGAAACGTGCAGGTGCGTCGATGCAGGGATACTCTCAACGCAGCCGGCACTCTTTGTGCTACATAGATCTCTTTGAAAGGAAAACCAATTTTCTCCCCTGCACCGCAACATCAGGCGATTCTATCGGCACAGGATCTGTCGTACTTCTGTACCACTTGGGTTGATAAGCTTGGGTCATTGGAATGGCTGCTGGCTTTCTGGCCTCGGCTTTGGCAAGATAGTATGGCTTCGTCTGGCGATGCTCCCAGACACGTCCTTAACCGAATCAAGTGAGATTCTGCTTCCTAAGTTAAGATTATACATGCAATTAACAGTTGGTTTAGATCATACCTGATCGCTTGAATGTACCGAGATTGCGTAAGTCGGCCGCCTGCAGCCGACGTCAGGACATCTGCAGACGCCGTTGTTATCGGTTGTTGGCTTGCCAGCCCGTCTGGATTATGAGAACAAAGCGTTTGAATCAGCTTGGTTTGGCCAGGATGCCGCATCAAAGTTACGATTGCTGCGCGTTGGCTCTGCCGGCCCTCGGCCGACTGTCAACTCGGGAAGAGAATCCGGGACATGCAGCTTTCCATGGTGTGGCTTTCTCTGCACGGTTTTAATAACAGGTGCCCGTTTGACTCCCGGCATTTGCACCGTCCATGCATCAAGCAAACCATTATGCTTGGAGCCCAAACGGCCCTATGAAAGGGACCTCATGGCTGATCTCGGATTGAGTGACGGGTCCCTCGCCAAGGTTCCAACGGGGCGTAATGATTGGCGGGGCACCCTCGCTCAAGCAATGCCCGGCAAATTATCCATCCAGCGGAGGACGGAGTTGAGTCGAGCAGACGGTACCGAAACATCCAGGGCAATGCGATGAGATGCGTTGCTGGTCCTCGACGGCGGCCTGCATGCAATCTCTTGCCGAAGCCCACTCTAGACTGACGGACGGATAGCTTGCGAGGTGAGGGTCCCTACCGTTCCTCCCGTTGGTGCTGGGATGGCGCATGCTCGTGCCGACTTGCAGTGCCAGCTGCCGTCTGGAGGCACAGATATCGATACTTGCTTGGTATAAAGTCGCGAAGCCTCGGCATAAGTCAAGCTGTTTCTGTCCAGTTCAGCAACCACCGGCTGTTGCAATACCACACTCGTTTGATCTTCCACTTGCCTTGCTCAGAATGCTTTCTTCTACCTCTCACTTCGTTGCCCTCCTGGGTATCAGTCTTGGGTAGGTGACTCAGTCATAGTTGGCTCAGAGCGATACTGACTTTGCAGTGCTTCTTTGGTGAGCGCCATTCCCAAGGCCAACTACCTCATCGTGAGCCCTCCGGAGACGGTCACAGTCACGACTTGCGGCTACCAATGCGCCAGCACCGTGACTGTGACAGAGACCTTAACCGAGACAGCGCCGTACTTCTTCACCTGCGAGCCTTCCAGCACCACCGTGGCAACTGGGCCCTTGGGCTCCTTGACGTTGTCCTCCAGCATCATCCCGCCTCCGCCCTTCACCCTCAGCAATACGACTTCTCAAGCCTCACATACACCCACGTCTTGGGCCACTGGTCCTGCTACCAGCTTGACTCGGCCATCTTCAACCGGAATCACCATCGAGACATCAACCCCTGGAGTCACCGTCTCTTCTCAGCTGCCCAGTGTCAAGACTCCCAGCTCGTCATTTACATGGTCCGTGAATGGTACCTCCTCGTAAGTCCTTCAGCAACTCTACTCAACATCTTGCAGTTGCTGATGGGGAACACAGGTCCTGGGGCAGCTCCAGTTCATTCAGCTATGGCACTGGCACCGCTGGAACAAGCGTTACGAGCGCAAGGCCCTCGCTTCCCACGAGCCTTTGGAGCAATTCTACGAATCCCATCACGCGCACCCTTGGCACAACCAGCACTGGCTCGTCAACCACAGACGATGTGACGATCCCCACCATTCCTAGCATCAGCATCCCTCCTCCTCCAGCCACTGTCATCGGGCCCAATGCCACCACCTCCTCAGGGCCGTCCTACACGGTCACGACGTACACCACCGTAAGGGTCATCAACACAACTGTCTCCTCCCAGCTCCCGGCAGCCTCTACGCTCCCAGTTTCGGCCTCGGTTACAACTGTGAAAACCACCATGGTTGTCACTATCACCAACACTATCCCTCGCAGCACTGGCACTGGATACTCATCTACCAGTAGCGGAACCGGAGTATCCAGCGCGTTCCCCTCGCTCTCGTCGAGTAGTTCCATTCGTCTCTCCCATTCTCTTAGCTACGGGACAACTTCCACCTCAGCATGGCTCAACACGACTGTCACCGTCCCTGGAGTTGGTACTGAAACGACTTCTTCCAAAAGGGCACCTACCACGGGCGCAACCTTCAAACCCAGCTCGGAGGTGCCCACCACAGGTGCGACCTTCAGCTCTGGCTCCAAGTTGCCCTGCACAACAGACACAGAGTTGTTGACGGGGTCCACTGCCACACCAGGAACCACTGTCCAGAGCGCTTTGCCAAGTTTGGCCACCCCCACGGCCACAAGCACTTTCACTACCGCCACCGATGAATACGAATTGTCCTCATCGTCTTCTCTAGGAACAACAGTGGGCAGTGTCAAGCCGACCCTCGTTTCGAGCAGCGCTTCTGACATCCCCGGTGCTTACACGTCCGAGTCTTTACCAGGGACGACCGTCTCAGACGCCTTGCCAACTCTTGTTACCCCTTCCATTTCCAGTATCGCGGATGGTTACGGAGCCTATCCTTCCACTTCGGAGGAACCAACTTCAGGTTCCCTGGGCACCACGGTTGCCAGTGCGCTGCCATCTTTGGTAACGCCGTCCGTGTCCAGTATGTCGCCGAAACCGACTACGTTCGAGACTCGTAAGTCTGATGAGTCTACTTCAACCACGGTCTCGTACCCTAGCTACGACTATGGCCACTCCCTTGAGGGAATGGATGTAAGGGTTTGAATAGGGTACCATGCCCGATGGACCGATGTTTCGCGGTTGGACATGGACAGTACGTGCGCCGTTGAGATGGCATGAGGCTGAAGTACAAAATTGTTGATTCTCTTCTTGACTTTCATTTAGACCTGTTTGCTGGTGAGTATTTTACGTTCGTACTGAAGTTGGGTTGAAGAATTTATAATTAAGGAGGGGCTCAGAATAACTTCAGTGGCGAGATCATGTTTAGAAAGGTTCAATGCACCGCGGTTTCTTGAACTTGTGCCTTAATATGGCTCTCACTTTATGGTAACTTGACCATGTTCGATAATAGTCACGTGCTTAAACGTGGGATAATCAACATATCCGGTCCTCTCACGCCGTCCTAAGAGCCGTAAAACCGGCTTCGGTCATAAGCATGCAGCGGAGCGCCGTTCATAAGACGGGCGGGCAAGTCGAGGCTGCTCACGAACCATGTGGCAAACGCAATTGCATCCCATCCACGCTCCAGTACCTGCTTAAAATTTACAGAACCCCAGCCGCCGCAACTGAAGACGGGCGTTCCCTCAAGGATCTGCCGGAAATGAAGACTTGAGACCTCTGGCGAACTCCAATTGAGATAAAAGCCATCCTTTTCCGCCTCGGAATCGATGCGGTCGAACCGGGGCTCGATGAAATGCACATAAGATAAGCGGTCTTTGCCGACGTAGTTCCGGGCGATTTGGGAGCAGAGATAGGCCCAAGTCTCTATCCGTTCGGTTCCGCGGGTGTGATTGTCGATTCCCGTCGGCTCCAAGCGAATACCGACGTTGGAAGGGCCGATTGCGCTGGCGACAACCGATAGAAGGTCCAGTGGGAACCTAGCTCGCTTTTCCGGGCTGCCACCGTACGCGTCTGTCCGTTTGTTGATATTTGAGTGAAGAAACTGGTCAAGGACTAGACTGTTAGTCGGCCGAAGGTGGTTCAGATTCATGATCCATCAACTTACGGTTACTATTACCGCTGTTGATCTCAACACCATCGAATCCAATTTCGATGGCGGTCCTAGCTACGGTGAAAAAGTCGGCAATGGTGCGTTCCATGTCATCCAGGGACATGACTGAGGTGGATGATCCTTATACGATGTCGTTGCCTTCGTGACGAGGTCTCGGAAGGCAAACTTCTCATCATCCCACGGCGTCGCAGAAACACTCAATGTGGGGGACCCCGTCATGTGCGGAATCGTTGCCCGACGACCAGCGTGCCACAGCTAAGCGTAGATTAAACCACCCCTGTCATGGACACCCCTCACAGCATGCCGCCAGCCTTCGATCTGTGATGGATGGAATATACCGGGCACGCCTAGTATCCCGCTTGCTTTAAGCGAAGGCAGAACTATTTCGGTGATGGATAGGCCTCCTTGCGAAGTCCTCTGCGCGTAGTAGAGTGCAACAAAGTCGCCAGGAAGCCAAACTCGGTTCGGTTTCTCGGAAGTGCCCTCTGTGACTTAATCATGGTGTCGAACCGCGCAGCTGCGGTGACCAGCTCGAGGCATGGCCTCTGCCCATGTAGCCTTTGTCATGCTTCAAAAAAGCATACCACTTGCGTCTCGTTCGGTCAATTTATAGAGACCTTTCATTCCAGGGCCGTGGGCTAATCGTTCAGAAGGCTTGTCGATGGCATTGCGTGGCGATGGCCAGCTTCGAACACAGGTCGTTGCGGGTTGACGCCAGATGATGTAGAAAGTTTCAGACGATATCAACTATGTCGACATATTTATATCGGTCAAGAAATACGAGAGAAGACTCTGAGAATCCGATGGCATTTGTAAACTCCTGCGAATACCGGAGTTGTCTTGTTCTCCGCGACATGTTAAAAGTGTCACATAGGCGATCCAAGAAAAGGTAAGAGAAGGGGCATAGAACTCGGACCAATATGCTGACAAAAGGCTTTAGTATATCACTACCTGGGAAGATGTATAGACACATTCCTCTCCTCGCTCTGCTTTGTGATAGATTTACCCAAACAGTGCTCGTCCGACGTTGGGCTGCTTAATACGCTCCTACTTCTGTGGCCCTAGAGCGGCCATCACCATCGGAACGGTTCCATTTTTGAAGCGAGAAATGGGGCTGATGTTTGATTAACCTGGCCTGGCTAACGTCTCTGGTGTGCGCAGCAAAGGTGACTCAAGCGGACTAGTGCCAGCGTCAGTTGGTAGGCTAGAAGAAAGTTCGCCCTTCCCTTGAGTTTGGAGCGTTTGCGGGATGTCGCTGACAAAGCCGACATAAGATTGCTTCGTTGCAGGCGGGTTCGTCCCTTCATCCACCCCTCACTGGCGGGCCGCAAGCGTTTAAAGAACCTGGAGCTGAAACCTGTGGCACCTGTCTACCCGTCCTGTTTATGGGGATTTACAGCTTAGTGCGCCTCATCGGTTGCATAGCATGTAAGTCGACACGTGTATGTATGCGTCCAGCCCTGCATCGTAACCATAAGCAGAAGCCAGTTGCATTGGTCTGTCATGTTCATATAACTTAATGGAGCATCTCTTTGTTGTACACCTCTTGGCCATCTTCTCCTGGTTATAGATAGGGGCGAAGGCTAAGTACACTGCCACATCAAACCGAACAAAGCTATTGCTCCTTTGCATTGCGCCCCGAAGCTCATCATTGCATTATTGTTAACTTATTGCCTTATGGACAGGACTTTCCCTGCCAAGAGTAGCCGCATAGGCTGCACCTGGCATATTCCCAATGCAGCTGACTCGACTCTGTTTCGTACCAAGAGGCTTGGTAAAAGCCACCAGGGCCTGCAGCTGAGCTGCATCATGCTGTGGCTGTTCGGAAGCGTCTGAATGCGTCCAAATTACCCCCAGATGGCGGCTGCTATGGCGCCTTGAGCCAGTCTGGAACACCAGACTGTATTGCTTGGAACGGTTGTGGGAGGGCCCGAGGAGCTGTGCCAGTGCCGCGAGCTCTGATGATGCGGCATAATAACATCACTAAATCTCTGAAGCTGTTGCGTCTGAGTGCAAAGGATTTTCTACAGTTTTCGGGTCTCTCATGAATTCCAAGTCTCCTCGTTACTCGGTTCTCTTTCATCATGCGAGCCCCCTGCCTCGTTCTCATCATTGTGACGCTGTCTGTCGGGGGCGTTGCTCAGAATTTTAGCCTTTCGTCAACTCATCATGCATCGGCGGCTTCTTCTTCCGTAGAACTTGCAGCATCGCCCGCATCTGCGAGCTCTCGAGGTACTAACACCTTTCCGATTGCCACGCCCTTGCCGCGGACGTAAACTTCAGCCAGGATATCGAGTATCTTAACAGGCTAACAAATCCCATAGATGCGATTCGTGGCAGTGAGCCCGGTAAATCAGAGGCAACTCTGAGACCACTGGCAACAAGTGCTCCCCTGAGCTCAGCACGAATTTCTGTAAGACTCAAAATCTCTTCCACGAGCGGTGTAATCCCGGCCGAGCCGGCACCAAACCCTGCACCAGTAGTTGCTGCGTCAAGAGGACCCGTCATGCAGGGAGAGAAGGCCAAGGACGAAGTGCCCAACCTCAGCAAGTCTCGACACCAGTGAGGGCACCTTTGCCTGTTGCAGGGCTCCGGTCTCGATGGAAGCATCAATTCAAGTTTCAGGAGGGCAAAGAGACAATTAAACCGTCACCGAACATCCCAATTTCTAACAAAATGCAGGGCAGTCAGGAACGGCCTGATTCATCTCGAGTAGCCGACGGCATGGTCTCTGGCCAGACACAGGCATCAGTTGCCGCTACCGCTGGCCAGCCACAGGTTTCCGGGATTCGAGGATCAGCGAGTAGCACTGATCGGAATGCATCAACACGATTGTAGGTCTTCCGCACATCCTTGGTGGCAAAGACTTACTGACTGTCCAAGATCCGGGACCGGCTCGCTCGATTCCGATGCGGCCACGGGCACGATTTCGTCGCCAGAACTAGCTACTGTAGCCTCTTTCCGCGCACAACCCTCCGATGGCTTCAGCGCTGTTGATGACACGGCCCTTAGAGCTATGCCCGAGTCCGATATACTAACACCTCCCGACGTTTCGAGTGTTGATGAACTGAATGCCGAGCTCGCCGTTAGCATTCCTGACCAGGGCATGAACGAGAAGAACGCCAAGGCAATTGCTGTTCTCGAGACGGCGTACTTTGAATATTTCGTCAACAAGGATCCGGCGCCAGTGGACGTAGGAAAGCTGTCGATTCCGCCAAGCACTTCACAATGCCAGAACAAGTACGCGGAGACGTTGACCAAGTCGAAAAGTTTCATCGACAGCGTTCTTGAGTGGGTCCCGCTCGTAACGAGGGATCTCCGCGGCTTCGACAATTGCAAAGCCGTTGAATCGCTGGAGGTCGCAGTCTACTTTCACTACATGAGAACATCGCCGACAGCTGCTCGCCCCAATGAACTGGAAGCCAGAGTCGAGGCACAAGTGGGTTCTTTTAGGCCCAATGACAGAAGTTCTCACGGCTGATATTGAGCAGGTCGATACTCTTAATGAGGCATTGGGAGCAGTGAGGATCAACTTTCGCCTCATGGCGCTGAATTGGTGGGAGCCGAAGGCGAATGAGGATTGGTCAAAGGTCTCGCGACGCGAGCACAAGCTCAGAGAATGGCAAAATCGGACCCGCGCCCCCGGAAAGCTGGTGCTCACGGTCTGGATGGTGAACGGCATCCGCGACGGTGGTAAGGATGACCGAGAACTGAACAGTGTAAGCCCTATGCTTTCCTGCTCTGACATCTGCAGCCCAGGCATAAGAAATGAGCTGACATTAAAAGACAGTATGCCACCTTTCCCAACGAGAAGCTCGACGATGTAGACGGCATTGTAATCGAAGAGGCGCGTGTGCAGGGAGTCGATGCCACGACGCTCGTCCACGATGTCGGCCACTGGTTTGGCTTGGGCCACACGTTCAACGAGGTTGGCCAGGAATGCCTTATCCAAAGCGGCTTGACCAACGCCACACAAACGTCTGGCAAACGGGACGTAGTCTTCCAATGTTCGCAAGTAACGTGCGCAGGCGGGCCAGCAGTGGACGTGAACAACTACATGAGCGTAAGCCATCCCCATGTCTCCCATCTTGGCGTGTTTGCCACTGGAAGACGGCAGCGCTAACACGACTCGCTTCGCAAACAGTACTCTTCGTGCCGTGGCAAGACGCCGCGGGACGGCTTCACCACGGACCAAAAGGCACGAATGTTTGCGAACGCACTTCAATTCCGTCGCGGGTACGAGTCGGGAGAGTGCATGCCGGACGGGTCGGCTGCCGTGAAGAAGAGATCAAGCATGCAAGACCTGCTCGATGGGAAGTGTCCTGACGTTGACAAGCAGGCCAGCATCCTGATGAACGTACCACACAGTTCAGGAACAATGCCTTCCTCTTCGATAGGCTGGCCTTGGGCTGCGACTGTAGCACCGTGTGCTTTCGTTCTATCATTCTTGCGGGCTTTTGTTTAGGCATGAGTCAGTGGTAGGTTCTTGTACCATGCCCATTCCCCTCAGTAAATGTAATAAGAGTCATTTAGGGAAGGCGATTTTAATTAAGAATGACACCCTGCACCAGCTGAAATTCATTCAAGACAGATATACGTAGAAAAAAAAAAACTCAGGAGTCATATTATTTTTTTAAGCTGTGTACCGAGCTGATTTTGTGTGAATGGCATGCGCTGCCCCATGTCCCAAGTATTAAAATGGGACACAATACATAGCTCTGTTTAGCCTATGGTTTATTACTGATACAGCATCAATCATGGTCCACCCCTTTGAGCTTACGTCTCAACCCCAAGCAAACAGTAAAGCCGGCCCACCCTGGCAGCCAGCTCAGAATGGGCCCTCATATTTAATATGAGTATCCAGACTTGGCTTAGATGGCAAGAGCACCGAGGATGAGCATGGCCAAACCTCCGACAGGAGCAATGCCAGCGGCGCCGGCCTGGACGGGAGTGGTGGGCGCAGTGGCATTGGCACTGGCAGTAGGAGTAGCGGCAGCGTGGCTGGTTGTGGCGGCGACAGCCGAGGAGGCGGCGGCAGAAGAGGCAGCGGCAGAAGAAGCAGCGGCAGAGGAGGCAGCGGCAGAGGTGGCGGCGGCAGCGGATGATGCGGCGGCCGGAGCAGAGCTAGCAGCAGCACCGCCACCGGCGGCAGCGTCGGCGCAAAGCTTGTCGGAGGCAGGGAGAACCTGGTCTGGAGGATGGTTAGCTTCTAATGATCATGGGGCGGTCCGGATCGACCATTGTCGCCACGTACTCAGGGCCGTGTCAACGCCGCAGGCTGCGATCACGCAGCTGGTGGCGGCGGACGAGATGGCGGCCTTGTTGGCGGGCTCGCAGGTGCAGGCGTAGTCGCCTGCCTTGCAAGAGGTGGCCGAGGCGGTGGCATCGGCCAAGCACTTCTGAGCGCACTCGGGGATGGGGCTCGAGCCGGACTGGGCGGCGGCGACGGCGATGAGGGAGGCGAGGGCGAAGGAGTACTTCATCTTGACTGTCGTTGGGTGTTGGTAGGGGTGAGTGTGCGGTGATATTAATAAGGAGTTCAAGTGGGCCGTGTGCAACAACAGAAGACAACGAGTGTCAGTTTGATCGAGACAAGCGAATGTGGATGAGAGGCGATGGACGACGAGGAGAGGGATGGGACTGAGGGAAGCAGGGCCTTATGTAGATGATCATCTAGAGAATGGCTGCAAACTCAATACTTCCCGTCCAATTAGGTATAGGCGGGTCTACGAGTGAGTTTGCAAGGAGACCAAACACTATTAGATGAACCTGACCGGCCTATTTGATTACAGCTCGGAAGATACGGACAAGCACAAAGTGGAGTATTTCCCTTTCTGTCCTTTACGCCAATCGTCATCCCCAGTCACTTCTCAACCGCAAGTTTCGACTAGGCAAGCAGAAACCTGGAAGGACGAGAGCAATCAATGGCGGAAGAATCTGGGGAAGTGGATAGAATGAGATCCTTGCCTTGTATCAGTCACCAGGAGGAATCGCACATGTGTACACATCGCGCGCGTTGTAACGATATGATGAAATAGTGCCGAGCAACAATAAGGCCGATGTGGCTGTCCTTGGGTCGAGGGACCCCGCGCCATCCTCAGCCTGCGAGTGGTCTGCGGACTTCAGGGCGACGGCGCGGGTGACCATCGGGCTGTGATGCCAGATTGGATAGCCTCCTCCGATAGATTGAGCCATACAAACGCTCGCGTGTGTTGCAAGGGGGCACTGTCATCGTGGTGGTGGCGTGTGTAAAGCAAACCATTAGTAGGTCCTTTTTAGGTAAATTCGCCTTGCTCGACATGTGATGGTGATCGATTGCCGAGAGAAATGTGGCATGCTGCAGGTTTATGACGGCGCTTTTGCGGAGTTGGGAACCTGGATCGTCCGTATGAGACCACCCCGATCATACGACCGAGGGCGGTTCCGTCCCAGTCAATGATGTTTTCCGGCACTCAGTTGACGAGATGGAAAATCTGGGGCAAGACAACGGGATCGTTTCTTGGCCACAGCTAGCCGCTAATTCCTGCTGCTATTTGTGCGGCCTATGATAGCTCAAGACCATTGTGATGGGATGATGTTTGATGCTCATATGATCAGTTGACGGAAGGTGACTGACTGTAATAAGAGTTCGGGACCTTTGGATCTGGAAAGTGACTTGGCCCGATGGCTGGCCGTGGCTGGCCGTGGCTGGCCGTTTTGGTGTATTTCAGTCATGGGAGACCTGCATTGTGTCTGAGTTGGTTGGACCGGACATCTCAACGCCTCAGAAGCCAGGAACCAGGACGAGCGTCGCCGAAATGTCACTTGATCGTCTTTCAAGATGTCAATGAATCAACTACTTAGGATAGCCCGGTTTGCCACGCTGAGAGGCGACTAGGAAGTAAGGGACGGACGAGGCGGATGCAGGAACATGGCGGCCAAGCATCACCTTACTAAAGGGGATTAGCTTCGTGCGGGGAATATTGCCACCACATCACGCAGAGGAAACACTGCAATGCATCCCCTCTTCCCTCCTCTTCCCTCCACTTCCCTCTACATCCGGCCAAGGCGTGTGTGCAACCTATGTAGCGTAGGCGGCGGTGTGCTCTGTTCCAATCATGCCAATAATGACAAACGGGTGTCACCTTTTGGGGATGTTGATGGATGGTGGGAGGAACAACGCAGACTGGTTGGTGGGCGGCTGTCTTTGATGCCGACCTGCCCAGGCGAATGAATGTGCTTCTTCCACCCGCCCCTCCTACCGGATCTTCTTGCAGGAGCATTTTTCAAGGGAGAGGAGAGGAATGCGTCTGACGATTGGATCAGTTGCTCGTGTGCGTGGATGTTGGCGACGAATCAAATCGCATTCATGCCACATTCGACCCTGCCAAACATATACACCATGGCGCGAGCAGTTCACGAAGGAGAGCAAACAGCCGCGCTACCTGTTTTTAGAGCAGGAACTGTTCGTATTTCGGACTGGCTTGAGCTAGGTGGAACAGCAGAGGGTCTGGCCTGTGACTGGCCAACTCTCTGATTTAACTCTCTTTGACTTAACTCTATGATACCAGAGCTAACGACGGTCTGGACATTATTGGCAAAGCCCCTCGAAGCTGGACCCCGCTTAAGATAGTGTCCGGCGGGCGCTTTGCTAGGAGCGGTGCAGGGATGCGCCGGCGATGTGGCTCGACGAATTGGCCGAGCAAGCCGCCCTTTTCCAGCTTTGCCTTCTACCACCAAGAATGGACTGATAACCCCTCTAGCTGCTTGGGGTTACCACACTAGCTACTTTGGCCGTGAAGTTGGTTGACGTCGATAATCGCCACCTCGACCGGCATCATATTTCCCACAGTTAGTTATTGGGGCGGAGTGGCTTTGGGAATAGCCTTTTGACATAGTGCTGGTGGTCTTCTCCCCTCTCAACCGCGCCGGTGGTATCCGTATGCCATGCAATATCCGTGCCCCCGTCTCTCTTCCTTTCATTTCTTCTGGCGGTGTTGACAGCGAAACGCTAATGAGGTGGACCCCCGGTCTGTAAACAGGGTAACAAGATTACTACGTAGTCCATGATCGAAGCAAACTTCTTAATCAGTTTATCATAATTTCCCGTCGAGGTTAAATTGCGTGTCGTTGCGCCACTTTTTCTCATCATAGTTTTGGGGGGCTAGCTTGTCCGTTTCCTCGAGCATTGATTGCTTGAATGGATTATGTGAGTTTTATTACCTGTACCTTCGACATTTGCGGCTGAATGTGCTTGCGGCTCCTTTCACCGACCGCCCGTCTGCAAGCTCAAGGGTCTAGAAGGGGAAACTGAGTCGCGCACCTCGCGTCTTTCTTTGACGGTCCGTTGAGGTTGAGGCCGATCATCGGTGCCCATGGCTTTCCTAAAGCAGGACTAGGCCCTGGCTTTCCGGCTGTCAGTCGTCGTAGGTGTAACAGAGCTAGCCACCAGGCCCTGCACACTAGACGCCGGCCTCTGGGACTTTGTGCATTTATGCTTGTGCAACCGCCGTGCCGCAACCCTGTTTGTTGACGATTCTGATTCCTTCGGTACCCGTCTGTCAGCTTTTGTTCAGACGTTGCCGCATCTCTCTTCCTTACTCCGAGACCTTATTATGATCCATGCGATGGATATCAAAGCTCTTCGCAGACCCATTCGAGCATCGCCCCGTTTCTCCTTCACTCAATATCAAGAAACTTGCCTGGTCTGCGACGGGATTTTTTCAACGTGCTTTCGGAGACTTTTCACTAGACCTTTTCCAGATGCAGCATCTATAGAGCATGTTGGTATTCTTGCTTCCTTGTAGTACGCTAGTCTTATCAGTTGGGTTTGAGTGTGAATAAATATGCTTTGTGAACCAGTCTGCTTATATACATTTACGGTCTTCCGCGGGTGCGGGATCATGGGGGTTATATTAATATATGTTGGTTGCAGTTCTAAAAGTAAAAATTGACTTAGAGCGAAAGTGAATGTTCCGATGAACTTTCTTTCATTTATGTCGTCAGTTTACTACTATACACATGTTTATTTGAACCTCCCTTGACTTCACAGGGCTTTCTTGCAGCCCGGCCATCACAGAAGGTTGCAAGCCGCTAATGGAAACCGAAGCCCATAATGTGCCGAATCATCGTCATTACCAGACGACTGCCGGCAACAATGATTGCTTCATTACATCTTTATCAGCCGGTCCAATCCAATCCAATTATGCCCTTCTATTCTTATTCAATGAACGGCAGACGCGGGATAAAATTCGTCCTCGCCATGTGGCAAAGGCTAAGTAAGGAATAGATTTGAAACCCCTTTTTCCAGAAGCGCTCACATCAGAGAGAACCGACACCGATTCTTGAGGTGAGGAGACTGTTACGTATATTCTATTCAGGCTGAATGCCGATACAAGACAATTCACCCTCGTCTTTATGTCACCTTGCTCACTTTCCACGCCCAGATCAGCCTTTCACACTTTGCCATAAGGACCATCGACCTTAGCCTGCAACATTCATTTCCTGAGAATACACCGGACTACTATTAGCGCCGAATGTCTCAGATGACTAGATTCTTCCTACAGTGGCTTGTGGTTTTAGGCAATCCATCATTTCTTCCACCGTATCCCTTAACATAACTTCTTCTGTGTAGGAATGTTGACGTACGAGTTGGAACGATGTAGACATCTTTCATGCCTTATATAGATGTATAGAAGGCAGCAAGAGGACTCTCCTTTTCTCAGAGAAGTATTAGGGTAGACTGCTATATATGCAAAGTGGTGAAAGTTTCAGGTCTTGGATACAACTTTCTAGGACATAGCCACTGACGGGTATGATTTGTGTGTGGTTGTTGGATGTACGTGCTTCTCTAAAAAGCCTCTTCTGCTTAGCGCTAAATAACACTTTCTTGAGATGATTAGTCTCTTGAAGGGCTTCTAGGGCATCACGCACGCAATAATGCTGTACAAACTCACAATTCTCTACGCTCACGTGAAACATAAGAGTGTCTAAAGGGGTCAGCTAAACAGTAATAAACACTATTACTTACTCCGTTACCTGCCCTCCATGTAGCCTGCTCCTAAATAAACATCAAAGCTGTTCTCTATTTTCCTACAACACGGATTCAAGTCCGTCCGTGAGGACTCTTCCAAAAAGATTGTTCCCACACCGAGGTTCGAACTCGGGTCTCTCCGGAACGCTATCATAACGCTATATGAAAGCGGAGTATCCTAACCACTGGACTATATGGGACAATTATGATACTGTGGCTTGAATTCAGTTGGTGTGATAGGATATATAATTAGATGCTGTGCTCTGTTGAAGATATTTACCCGACTACCCATTTGTGTCAAAGTTCCAAATGTGTGTGTGTGTGTAGTCTCTTACTACATAAAGTGAGAAGGTAGAAGACACTATCCACATCTGGTTGGTAATCCTAGCTTGCCTACAATCCGCCATTTCTCCCGACAAGACATAATCTCTCCCCCAGCTCTCATCTTAGTACATGACCAAGTCTTTGTTGAGCTAAACTGCCCCGAAAGGACCATTGCAGTCCCTACTCAACTGAGCCTTAGTGTTCTGGCTTATATTTGATATTGCAGCGAACAGCCTCGAATACCCCCACATCCCCGCATCTGCTCCTTAGATATATGATTTGTTGCCAAAATGCAGGAATGCCTTCGATCTGCAATGGCAAGTACATATTTTCTGGGTTGCAATATGATTCTGCACAACATCCCACCACCGACGGGCATCAGGAATGTTCCCGAACGAATCTGAGAGCTCATCAACAGCGTATCGACTTCCTTTCCCACGGCAGCGCCATGGTACCCATGTATCGGTCTCTAGTGGGTGGTATTCCTTGATATTCCACGACTGGAGTGTGAAGCGTCGAGAGCTCGGCATAAACTAATTGATTAGTTATGGGGGCGGAATCTCCACTGGTTCCCTGTCTCATGTTGATCCAGCATACTACAGCCGTGTTTGGTATACGTCCTCGCCTTATTGTTTTATTGAAGGCTTGGAACGTGATAAACAACAAGCATGACAACAGCACGCGGGGCATACATTTGTTGTCTTCTGCTCCGGGCTGGATGAGCAAGATTGATCGTCCGTGGTGCTAGGAAGCCTCTTTTATAAATGGATCTTTGCTTGACGTGCGTTGAACGCGGCTGTCGCTACCGAGAGTAGCCGCGCCGATAGCAAAGGTGGCATGGCGAAGAGCAGGGTCTTCGCGGGCGATTCGTGGGAGTACGTGTGTCGTGAGCTATCAGGGGAATAGTGTATACTCTTTGCTGAATGCCATCCAGTAGTCGACATGGTCCTTTTCGATTTGGTTGGCTGGTAAACCCCAGGGTCTCGTGGTTTGGTTTGATCAGAATTCGGCGATGCCCTCTCAGGAAGGACAATATCGCGGAGGTTGGCTTTTGAACATATCCCTTGCATTCTTTCCTGGACTTGGCGCAATTCTGGCAGGTTGGTTTTCCTCATCGCAACGTATGTGTCATTTCCTATCGCGGGGAAAGCTGTGAGTTTCGGCCTTTCCTTGAACCTCACTGCTGCCAGTGCCGTCGAAGATGTCTCACCCATTTGCAGATGATGCATCCTGCCCTAGTTTTCGGAGCTTACTTTCGGTTGGCCTTGGACCGCTCCATTATAAAAAACTTTGAACGCACTGGAACCCGTATTCAGATGAAATGCCATTTCTATCGCTGCCGTCCAGACATCAAGCATATGCTGGTTTGAAAGATTCGATCTAGATTTTTATGGTTGGTCTGCGTGACTCACACGTCCCGTTTGCTAGCAATGATCACACCATAAAATGTCAATGTCTTGGTACTTAACAGCGTCCCTTTTTTATCATGGAGCTAAAGCATAGAGCAAGAATGAGACCTGATCCAATCGCAGAATACAAGCGCCAAAACGGCCCCAGGCCATAGAGCAGTCTCATGCCGAAGGCTAACAACGAAAGAGGTAAACCCCATTGCCTTGTCCTCTAATAGACGTAGAAGGCGGTGGCTTCGTCATTAGATGCCCTTAGTCTCGCATTCCGCCTCTTCACAATAATCTTAGCGAGCCACGCAAGGGCGGCTGTTGCGACGCTGAAAGCAGCACTGCTTGACATGGCAATAACGTAGCGAGGCTCGTCGCTGCTGGGCCAGAGGTAAGGTGTCCAGATAAAGCTGATGTTCATAACCATTGTAACGCAAGCAATTGCGGCCGCTTTCTTCTCTTTGGTCTGTCCGCAGACACTGCCGCACCAACCAAGCTGGGACATCATATTAGCTAAACTGTATCCCTCTGCTTCTCCAACTCAATCCCCAATCCACTTACAATGAGACTGTTGACGCCATACGTTCCAATGGTGAAAATTACCATTGACACATATCTGCCGACGGTGTTGAGAGTGGCGCATGCCGAAACGAAGCCAACGACAGCAACGGCTTTGGAAATAGTGATGTGCCAAGTTCGCTCGTTGAACTTGCCAGATGACCAAGAAACAGCGACAGTGATGGCGCCGGCGATGAGGTATGGAGGGCAGGTGAGGACCAGGGTGATGGTTGTGTTGAAGCCAAGGGTCTCGACGACGGTGGGAAACTATCATGTCAATGTTAGTATCCCACTCAGATTTTTCATATGGGAGCGGGGGGATCTTACAAAGTTCTTGAAACCGTTGGCAGCAAGGTGCATATGCGCCATGGCGCAGAAAATCCACACCATTGGGTCCTTGGTAGCCTGGCCCAGACCTTTCCAGGTGCTGGTCTCTCCTTTGTTATCCACAGTGTCGAGTTCCATTCGGTTGTGAGCGAGATCGCGCTCATCCTGTGTCAGCCACTTGGTGGTCAGGGGAAAGTCGGGGAGAAGGAAGAATCCGACCAAAGCAACGACAAAGGTCACCGCGCCTTGCAGGATGAACAACCACTTCCAGCCAGCAAGGCCTCCAGTGCCGTCCATTCCATGGAAGATACCCGCAGCGATAAGGCCAGCGAAGGCGGTAGCGAGGATGTTTCCGGTGTACAAAATAGCGATGCGGGTCGCGACCTCCTTACGGGTGTAAAAGATGGAAAGCAAATAGACAGCTCCAGGGTAGTAGGGGGCTTCTGTGACTCCAAGGAAGAATCGGGTAAGAAGCAGACCAGTGAAGTCCTTGGATACAGCAGTCAGAGCACTGACAACCGCCCAGAGCATCATCATGATACCCTATAAGATAAAGTTAGCTCCATGGCATAGTTATGTTTATGGCTACTGATCGTACCATGTACCGGCTTGGGCGAGTGCGAGTGAGGAACATATTCGATGGAATCTGGCCCCTGTAGCATTACTATTAGCACTTGATGCAATGAATAGCGTAATACATATGATTGAAAACATACAAAATGTAACCAACGAAGAGAATCGACACACAAGTCTGGTACTCTTCAAATGACATGAGTAATTAGCTGGCACTCGTCGTACATTTCCGGAAAGTATATCAACGTACGAGATCCAGTGAGATTGAGGTCTTCTTCAAGGTTATTAAGGCGTGCCAGCGCAATGGCATTGCGATCCAGGTACTGTAGTCCAAGTCAGTATCATGACAAGTGACGAGACACCATGACGGTACCTACGTTGAGCCAGTACATTGACCAGAGCATTGGCTACACACATTTGTTAGTCAGTGATCGATGGGTCTACGGAAAAGGATGGTGCATACCATGATCCATCTGTCCAGCTTCTTCACTAGGGCGATTTCCTTTGGATCAGTCTTCTCCTGCGCGCCGGAATAGTCTACTTTGCTCGTGTTACGGGGGATTGGCTTTTCGGGGTTCAGATCCTCGAAGATCTGAGGCTCAGCGTCCTTCACCCTGTCAGCGTCAACGGGGTCGTTTCGAGCCATGGTGAATTAATAAGGCGTAAGACTTCACAGAAGTCTTGGTGCAAAAAAGATGTAGAAGGAGAAGAGAGCCGGGATAACTACTGGGTGTCGCTGAGCTCAGAGCACCATGAAGCCAGCACTCTTCTGGCTATATCCTCTTGGGAATGGCGGCCCTTATGTACTCATCCATGATGGGGGATGCCCAGGCTTGGAAACTGGTAAAGACACCCTCGAAAACTTCTCCATGTTGCAACCCCGTGTTGTTCCCCGGATCCACCAGGGATATGTATGAGATAGTATCTGGGGATACACACACGCATCATGACAATCTCATCGTAAAGTGAGCTCTGGTCATTGATTGTCAAGCCATCCCCGACATGTTCCGAACACCCAAGAACTTATTGGTCTCCCAAGAACGGTCTGCCTGTATGGATGGCAAATAATCCTGGGAGATGCACGAGCGGAGCTCTAGCCGCGTGCCCGCTGACTAGCAGCTATTCTCAACGGTCTACAGCCAAGGAAGATCCATGAATGAATCTCTTGTGCTGTTGAAGTCGGCAACCAAGAGGATCCAAGCTTGTGTCATGTCACGTCGTTCTCCTGGTAAGCAAGGTGCTCAAGCTCCTTGGCCAAGCTTGGTGTCGATCAGAGGCATTGACCCATCACCTTCTTGTCGTATGGCGCTGGCAGGAAGATGAACTGCCGGAGGAAGCAAATTCCTCGGTGGTGTTAGGGGGCACGGGTAGAATACCGGTGCAATTTAGTCGGCGGCCAGTGAGTTAAGCCTATTTCAGCATACATTATGTTAGCGCCTACAAAAACAATATTCTGACCCTACTAACTAATAAAAAGGCCAAGATTTAGAAAGTTACATAAAGTTAAAAACTCTTTAGATTTAAGTAATCTAAAGTTAAAGTAAAATAGAGATAATAGCTATAATTTAAAAATTTATTATATTATATAACCTCTTTAAGTAAAAAGTAATACCTTTATTATAATAGTAAATTTATATATCTTACTATTGCTCTTTAAAAGTTAGATATAAGGGCTTAATCTTATGTATTATAGGCGTCTATTAGTAATAGTAGATTTACAGCAAAAAGGGCGTTTTTTGTATAGGTTATAGACGTAGGCAGTAGTGGCAGTGGCAGTGGCAGTAGCAGTAGCAGTGGTGGTAGTGCCTTCTAAAATAGGCTTAACTCACTGGCCGCTGACTAAATTGCACTGGTATTCTACCTGTACCCGTGTTAGGAGGCCTTTCCTTGGCTCTGCAACTTGATGACTCGCCCCGGGTCATCAGTTGGAAGCCTCTCGTAGTTTGTCCAGTGACAAGGGCCAGAACGATGAGATAGGCAGGATGCCCGTTGCAATCCCTTTCCCGGGGTACCTAGGTCCACCCGGAGGCGCCCGCTTTGTGCCGTGGCCGGGGTGGTGTGTCTGGGGCTGTGCATGTTGTTTCCATCCGGGGTAAAGGGAGTATTGGCTGGCGGTGAGGATTAGATGTTGTTGATGACGACCCTCTTGCTCGGCCTTCTTTCGGTTAGGCGGCTGAGAGAAAGCCCTCCATGGGGTGAAGAGGGGAGCCGCAGCAAGAGGCAAAGACACAGATACGGAAGTGGAACGGGGACCGCGGGGTAACATGCAGTCGAGATGTGTGAAGCACCACCAAAGGTTGCTGTTGCTGAGAGCGGCCTTCGATGCGGGTTCCAAGACAATGGCATCGCGCGCCAAGCAGCCCCAACCAGTGCCAACTAGTCATTCCCAAGATTAGCCAGCACGCTGGACGCGGTGTACAAAATAGCTTGCTTCCTTGCTCACCGACGGAGGAGTAATTTAGGGTTTTGCGCAGGTGGCGTGCTTGTGCAACTTGCGTGTGTGTCTCGTGTGATCAGCACGTCTTGAGTAGCCCTCCTTGTTCTCATAATAGCAATAAATCATGTCGGACGTGGTCAAGCCCTCTCATGGCGCGGCGCTCTAGAATACTTCGATTGAGGCTAGAAGTTGCAAAGCCGCCGAGACCAAGCTGACGGGTAAGGTCACTAGAACGGCGACGCCGCAGGCCTTGACGTTAAGTTTTCCCGCAAATACCATAATAAAAAGCCCCCAAACCCTGGAGAGCCACACGGACTATCCCAGAGCAGCGGGCCAGTGATTAACTAGTTGACCTAGCGAAGGCCACCCACTTGAATTCCCATGTTCAGTCTTCAGCTTCTCGGAAGGTTCCCCGGCTCCATTGGTCCGTCAATGGGATTGAAGTCGGCGGTAAACCAATCATGGATGTGCTTGGTGTTTATAGTAGCACGCAAGCATGTCAGTGTCTGACCATTATGTGGGATCGCAGATGTCCATCCAGGATGGGCAGCCTGACCTACGCATCCTTGCGAAACACCACACGCACCGTGAACTAACCCAATGGGCTTCCATGGCAACGGCTGCAGTCTCATCGTGCTCTTGGGTATCCTCCAGAGCGGGCCAGAGCAGCACGCTCCATAATGAAGATAAGCCGGCAGACAGGACGAACGCGTTGGGGAGAGCCCCATTCCGGCCAGGTGAGGTGAGGGGGTTCTAACCCAATTGCGCGCCCTCGGAAATTTCAAAAACAGGTTGACATGTGGATGGCAGGCAGGCGACGCAGCGAGGATTCCCCGGATCTTGAACCCCACCGAGGCCCATGCTATCGGACCTCAATTTTGTCACTCCTCAGGAACAACGGCATGCACTTCTGTCAGCTTCTCCAATGCCAACCTGGGCCTGGGGCGGGATGTGTTTGAACCGGCGTGGCGAACGAGGTACTTGCTTGGGGATTATGAGGCATAATTCTTGCGTTCCTTTCGTGTTGACTTGTAAAGACGCCGGATTGGGTCATCTCCAGCCAAGCAATTACTGGTGTGAAAAGTCGAGAGTCCAGTGGAAGGCCAAGAGCGCCGAGCGTCAGAAGACCGAGCTGGGCATGCACGCCTAGCGCTTGCTCTCGGTCTCTTGGCGAGAGGGGGAAAATGGGAAAGAGGATCGAGTGGTAAGTTAAGGGGACGCAACATGATCAGCTGTACTCAGCAGCGAGTCACAAAGTTCAGCCCGATTCTAACGCCGCAGATATGAATGAGAAAGTAGTCGACTATGGTTGAAGGTATCGTCAGAACGTCTAGAAGCGGGCTATATCACTAGTCAAATAATACACGTTTCGTCCCTCATGCAGAAACACAGATCTATGCAGGAGAAACGGGCTAGGTATACTTGATCGCCCCCCTCAGTGGATATGCAAGCAATAGGTACCCCTGTCTCCAATTTGTGCACTAAGAGTGGAAGAGAGCCAACCTTCCCCCCTCCTTGGCGATAGTTCCGTTGGTGTGGCGTGCGCGTTTGGTCGGTTGACGAACCCGTCATCCTTCTCCTCTTCCCCACCTCAAACCAAGGCCCAGCCACCTACCTGCTACCGCGATATGCCTAGTGCGCAACTTAAACCAGTTGATAAAGTTCGAATTGAAACCCGTTTCCAGGTCGGTGAAAGAGCTGGCCAGGGACCAAACTCCGTCCTTGACAACGGGGGGAACACCGTACCATATGCTTGGGGGCTTGTCTCGACCTACGACAAATTGGCTACCCCTCCAGAGCTATCTGTATTCGGAAAGAAGGGAGAAGAGAGAGGAGAAACCCAGCAAGGTCCATGATCCAGCTTGCTCAACCCAGCATTGCGTAACCCCATGGGGAAATCGCGTGGCTCTCTAAGTACGGAGCAGGGCCTAGAACTGTACAGAGCCATATTTTGACTAGCGTCGTTACGCTCAGTTACAGAGATGGCATGGCGACATTGCCAATTGTGAAGTTAGATGTTGACGCGTGTATTTCCAAGCACCTGTCCTGCTCCAATTACAAATTGTTTGACTGCCCTGTTGGCCGCCTTGCTGCAGCGAAGGAGTCAATGTGGCCCTATCTTCTGTTCATCCCAAATTCAACTCTGAACCTCCTCCTGGAATTGGTACATCTATTTAGTCGCCTTCTCATTTGAGAAGAATAGCACTGTGATAACCGTACTCTGAAGTTGGCCATGCCGGTGTTTCCATGATTCGTTAAATGAAGTCATGCGAGGCTGTCATCAACACGATAGACTGTCTAACAACCCGCGACGTACCGCTTTAGTCACATCTATTGAGCCCACGCGACTACAGTCGCTGGTGTTGCTTGGAACTGATGTCGACTCCTGTACTTGTCGGGTCGGCGGTCGCCGAAATGCAGTTATAGCGCACGCCAATGTACAGAGCTGCTTACTGCAAACCCAAGATTAGAAGGTTTGGTTGTAAATTAGGCGGTTGTGAGATGCCGGGCCGCATCATTCGCACAGGGAGACTTTACCGCAAAGCTAAACTCATTTTGCCTGATTGGTAACTTCAAGAAGGGTACTGAAGGAGTCACTGGCTGGAGAGATTGCGTTAATGGTCTAGATCATTTAGACGAGGAGCGATGTGGCCATTCCACGCATTATACTGTTAAATGTCTAAGATTCTTTATTCAGGCGTGCAGATCATTAAAGCTGGCTAGCATATGTGCCACCACCAGTGCAAAAGTCGAATAAACCTACTACGAAGTTGGCATAGATATCCTTGTTCTAGCTGTTGAGCAATAAAACCTCCATCTAGCTACTATTCAATGTGTTTTTTTGTGAATATCATTACATGTACTGGCGGGGATACATGTCCTTGCTGCCACGATCTATTGGAACACGGGGTTCAGCCATAATGACCACAACTGGTGTGCTCTAGTTCCCATGTGTCTATTCACAGGGTACACAATATATATATGTACATACCGATGCGACTGACTCGTATACGACCCGTATACACGGCAGTCCCTGCGGCACTCAATGTCTAGTAGACCACTAAGCTAAATCTCTCGGCTAAAAATATATATTCAAAGAAGGAAAACTTTTCGTTTGGTTTCTGTTGGTCTTTTTGCTCCACCCACCCATGGATATTGAGATTCCATCCGTCAAACTTAGCATGGTGTCTGCTTCAACCACGCATCAACTCGTTAATTCTGCTTGTCCTCGCACGAAGAGTCCGGACCGGCAGCACCCATCGTGGTGCAGGCCTCGCGGAAATCGCAGTTGTTAGGGTAGTAATACACCTTGCCGTTGCTTCCGTAGTTGCACCACGTCGTGCCGTTCGCGTCGAAAGTGGTGAGGTAGGCGGTGCTGTGGCGGCCATCTGCGCCGGTGACGTTTTGGCGCAGATCGGCGCATGCCAGCTAAAAGATTGAGTCAATACTTTAATGATCTAGTCTAGTAGATTCAATCTTACCGTCGTGGCATTGTTGTCAGGCCTGCCGTCGGCCATATTGCAGCGGCACCTGTGGTACCAGGCGCAACCCTCGACAAGCTGCACGCTGGCGGCCAGGGCGAGGACGATGGTGTTGATGATAGGGCTTTTCATTTTGAAATTGATACTATGATTTTTTCTTATTCTCTTGTGAAACTTGGAAAAGTCGCGAAAAGTCGGTTTTGTCTGGCGTGAGTAATGAATGTAAAGTGATCAATTTGTCAAACTGACTGAGTTCTGTCTAAGTGGGAGACCAGCGTATCCAGGCAATTCGACCAAGCTTTATACATGAAAATGTTAAATTCTCTCGCTGTATCCGTAGGTCTGTGTACTATCAGCCAATTGAAGAGAGGTATTTTTGAAGAAAAGTAATATAAATTTCAGCCACGTCGAGTACGGGTCCGCCGATCCATATTTAGACATTCCGGCAACGCCGATAGGAGCGAGCATACCGCTGAGGACTTTCAACGTCTACTCATGCAATATCAAGCAGAGCGAGTCCAAGCAGGAACTGCGCGACGAGAATTTCTCGCATCAATTGTATGTAAGAATTAAGCCTCTCAGTAATGCATATGTCGTGAAGCTGGAATGGCTTCGTGTCGCTAGTATCAGTGGCGGCCGCTACAGATGTGGCGTATCACCTGCACGGACCGCCTTGAATTGTGGTTCATACGTAGATTCTTAATAGGACAACTACTTTACGCACAAATGATTAGACACTGTGGTTCATCACAGCATATGTAGTATTATGGTGCATAGCTAGACACTAATCACCGCGATATTTCTCAACCTACTATCATCACCAAGATTGTTATTTCAGCGAATGTTGCGGTGTGTCTGTCCTATTATGGATTCCCAAGCTTCCGATACTGTGCTACGTGACCTGCAACCTCAGCAAGGAAGTCTGTCGTCTTTGACCCTTTCCCCGGAATACCTCGAGGTTACTTCTGTTGCCGACCACTCGCTCGGAGTGTTAAGATCATACCAAGTTTTGCTCTCTTTTTGATTGCCCTCGGCAAAAACTGTATAGACGTCGCCGCTCAATGGGACAGGCGGTAATCAAATATTTCATCACCGTAAACATATGGTCAGGCTAAGCCTTTCGAGCTCTTCCACATGCTTTGCCATGTTGTACCACCGCCGAAATTCCTCCAAAGTTCTTCTCGGGGCCTTGTTGAGCGATGGTCTTAGTCGGAAAATGTGGCGGCTGCTTTGAGAGGCAGGCCTCCCAGATTGAATGGCCAAGGGTACAAGAGTGAAGAAGGGGGTTTAGCGAGACCTACGTCTCAATGGCAATCATGGTCCGTTCTATTCAGATACAAAAAGAATCCAAAATATCCAGATTCTGGCCTGTTCCGCAGCAAATAGATAGAAGTCTGGGCTGATCCATCCACCTGATTCATCTAGTGGTGCCGTCATCAGCTACTATCTGGATTGATCAGGTTACAGCCCAGTTCGAAGGCATTATCTCAGATAAAATGACGACACGGACAATACCGTGGAGTCTAATCTCAAACAATTAAGAATTGCCCCCTCACTCAGTCGGGCTATACTGCTGTGTCTGACGGCTTGGGCCTGTACTCCAAAGTAGTTCTTTAGGCCAGGTCGACCTAGGGAGCAGGGGGTGGGGGCATACCAACAGCAGAACTGCGGGTAATGACTGCAAAAAAACAATGTGGTTAGGGTGTGTATCGATTCGAAGCTTTCGCTGAGCTTGTCCTGTCGATCTGCGTGGGGCAAGCATTGGTGGGTGAACCGATGCCGAAACATCATTCGATAAAACCTCAGTGCAGCCTAAGATATTCCTGTATCTTATCATTGCTAGGAGTCAGGATCGCAGACATCAAGCAGTAGGGCTCTGTTGGGGGGTTGGGGGGTTGGTTAGAGAGGAAAGATGCGACTTCATGTTTGTCGTGAATGCTGGAGAACTAGTGTTCGCCATGACCGTATTGAAGATAGACGCTTGAGCTTCGGCAGTGAGGATAAGCAACGATGACACTTGGTGCCCTCCGTGTGATGTAATACAGCAAAGCTCGTACTTTGATCTAATGCACATTATCACACGAGTATCGCATGCCAGTCTCTGGGTCTTATGCTGGCTTTTGTCGTATATTCTAGTTCTTATAAAGCTTCATTCGTTTCACAATGATGTCTTTAGGGTATAACCACGGCCTCATACAATAAGTCCTGATTATCGATTGGCTTGAGTTTCTTGTTGTACTGAATTCAACTGTTGACGATGCGTCTGCCTTTCTTTCAGTCATACGCGCTCTAGGCGTAAACATAGCAGAGTGTATTTCACAGACAAGTGACATTTTATTATGAGACTCACTCCTTAGCATTAATAGATACACGACTATGAAGCATTGTCTTGCAAAGTAATATTACTTATAGATCTGAACTGATTTACGGATATAAATTCTCAGAGTATGTTATTGCAGCTAGGAGGCCACATCATGTGACATGTAGCGGTAAAACGGGACGCGCTCTCAAGGTGAAAGAGGCGGGGACTGCACGGACGAAGAGAGGGCAATCAGACGACCACTAATGATAAGGTTCTCCATCAAGGGGCTTATATTTCATCTGAACAACATCCGACGAGGCGTTTTCGGGTGGCACTTCGCCACTAGGTGCAATGACAGCGCACCAAGCAAGCGCACCAAGCATATGTGTGGGTTTCAAGAACGTGCTTATCACTGGCTTCTCCTTCATGGCGAGGCAAATCAGTGACGTCTTTCTCCTTTGGCAACTTAATAGAAGTCCTGAAAGCCAGAACACCGTGTTTGGCATGGTGAAACTTGTTTGGAGTCTTTGCTGGCTTATGTTCTACTGTTTGATGGTCTACGGAGTGGTATGAAAGCAATCGCGTATTTGGACTAGCGTCAGAGCATTGCCTCTTCTTCTCCTCTCAGATGTCACTATGTTGCGGGCGAGGCATACATTCACAGAGTGAAGGGGCCCAAGCAACTGCGGGTACTGTTGGCATGCAGATATCTGCAGGATTTCCCAGTAGTAGAACATGGTACTGCGTGTGCGAAGGGTGTTAACTGATGGATACAATAGGCTCTTCCCGTCTTTATCTCGCTGTCCGTCCCCATTCTCCGCATCGTTAATCAAGACATGGGTACGGTTGTTGACCTCGTTTGCATTTGTTTAGTCTAAATTCCCCGACAAGCGGGTATGAGCGCAGGGGTGGGCAGGTGCGGATTTCAAATTGTTTGGTCTTCGGTAGGTAGGTAAGAAGAACTGGGGGAGAGCGATGGTACGGTTCTCTTGGCAGTTCTTCAATGCTGTTTGACGTCTGGGGATGGGCCAGACAAAGAACGTTCAGTTACTGGAGTCGTTCGGACTGTTGTTCGGACTGTTGTTCGGACTGTAGACGGCGCGGGGCACAAACTCTCTTGAAGTGTTCCTGATGCTCGCACTTTGTCCCGAATCACAAGCATGTCTTCGGATCATGATAACGGAGTTTGAGTGTACACGGACCTTTGGTCTTGATGGTGGCGACTGACATGGTGAAAGCATATTCAAATATTTTGCTGTAAAACCAGGGTTTGACAGGGGTGAAAGGGGTCAGTGCATGTTCAATCTCGCGATCCCGAGGCGAGTTCCACTCTTTGATCAAGGGAGAACCAAGACCAGGGCTCACAGCAGGTTTTGACAATTGGGTCGGTGTGACTTGCTGTTGCAGTAGGGACGCTGCCTGAACTGCTGGACCGAGCAACGGTTCGATCTAACACGTGGACGGGTTCCGATGGCGGTATTGTCTTGGGCCCTTTCCCCCCTCAAACCGAGTGCCCTGCATCATCAGTAAACGATGAACAGTGGCATCGAGGCTGTAGCTACTGAAGTTCAATTCAAAGGCTTACGAATGTATTTCTCTAATTAGATTCCGTCCCGTTGACTGACTGTTCTTTCTGCCCCAATCGCAGGCCATATTCAGATGCGTTCCACAAGGGTGAAAGTTCATCCGTGACGGGGAATTAGCCGCGTTCGCATGGTAATTTCCGCCGTACTGCGCCCACGAGGTATCTCAAGTCTGTTCCAGATCGACCAAGCCCCTTGTACATCCTGCCTCGAAGTAGTTATGACTAAGAAGATCGGTGAAACTAGTGATGCTGTGCTCGGCCTCTTTTCTCTTTATTCCTTTTTCTTTTACTTTCCTCTTCGTTCTCCAAGTGGAAAAGCGGATCCTTAAACCCAGGAAGGAATAGCCACAATAGAGTTCAAAGCGGGAGGGATTAGGCAAGATGTATTGCGTACTTGGTTTGGGTAATTCATTGGCGCATCTCTTCACGTAGTATCAATATCTAGGCCGCAGCTGTTCATAAGGGAAATAAACCGCTGGGGAATAAAAAAGATGAAAAAAAAAACCCTTATCAATGAAAACAATGGACACGTCAGATTGCTTCTTAACAATACGAAACTGGCCATGGAACCTAGCCTGTGTATCATGAGTGTTTTCCAGACGTAGGAGCTGCCGCGGAATCCAGGTCAGGTCGATTGGCCCTACAGAGCGGAGCAACACGGAAGAATCGACAACGACACTCTCCGTATACCGAGGTGCGGTAATAAAGGTTTCCACTGGTGCATAGTCCACAGCTGTACATTGTTGGCCTCCTGGAGTAGCAACGGCTGAGATCGAAAATTAACAATCAAGTTTATCTCCGGATCTGTGACCACCCGTTCACCAGTAGACAAGTATCCCTACGGAGTAAGTTTTCAGATACGATCACACGATGTGTGGATTACTACCCACTTCCCGCACGGTGCTCGCCAGACCCCGAGCCGACAGGGGTTTTTGCGAAGAATTCGCGAATCCGCTTCATGGCGATATATTCCTACTTTGTGCAGAAGGTCCACAAGGATTTAGTCTCGCCGTCTCATATTGCGCCTTGCACTGCAATGATAAGATACTAAGTGGGGTTTGAAGCGTATCAGTAGCACCCCAGTAGCACGTGCGTATCACATATAGAGTGCCTATAGCTATATCAGAAGCTGTGTTATATGTGAGAGCTGGAAGTGTGGTTGCAATATTGGCCAGCGGCCGAGTCAGAATGGTTCGTTCGGCTGCCATCCCGGCTACTAGTGCATCCTTTCGATGCCAAGACTGGATGAGCGCAAAGACTTATGATCAGGGGTCTGTTTCGACACAATGGAGAATATGCCCCAAAACGGTTTACACAACGGCGACAAGTAATCATCGCCTTCAATAATATATCGATCTCGGGGGCCCGCATCGGATGACGGACAGAAGGATCAAGGCCATTATCTCCCACACGGGGGTACGATGTTTAGACTTCCCGGCAGGGAGGGGTAGCGGAGACTGGCGGCGCACCGACAGAGTGTCAGGGAGGACACGTCAAAACCACGGCACCCCCCGCCTCGCCAGAAAGGATTCGAACGGCTTGTGTTGTGCATTAGTTCTCTGTCGGCATCGTCATGTACGGATGAGACCGTGACGTGAACGGTGGTCGCAATGGTTTTCCAACTCCCGTCGGCTGTCGATGCAGAAGTCGTCGCGTCCATCGTTTACTCGATTATATGTCTCTTGTCCAGTTTCCTATTGGTATGGCTTCTTTGGACACACAATGACAGGGCAAGCTGCAAGTTTTACCTCTTCCCCTCGATACCGGACGAACATGACAACATGGGTCGGCTTCACGATTCATTGGGCTAACACCGGTATTGCCACAGACATTGCCTGCATTGCGTACGCCACGCTCATTATCACCGCCACTAGCGTCTGGCAACAATTCTACGACTATATTTGGTGGAGGGATATCTTGACGGACCAGTTCTACTATGCCAGGGAAAACGCCGATAACGCGCAGGTTCAGTACACGCGAGGAACACGGGGGGTCAAGCTTGTCCTAGGCTATGTTCGTAAGTCGAAGACTTTGCGCTTCCTCGCTGGATACCGTCCTGCGGTCTGCTGGAGGTTGTATCCTAATCGGACAACAGGTCTTTTCGGATTCACCATTGCATCCAGCTTCGTCTTTTTCTTGTGAGTCGCCGCCACTCGGCTTGATGGAACGACTCGGAATGGTTGCTAAAGTCGTCCAGTGCCCTGTCTCTAGCCGCAAGTGTTTATGGCTGGTTCGCCGCGACGCCGAGGATGACACGTACCATCTCTATCATCGGCAGAATCCTGCCAGTTGTGCTCACATGCATTACCACCGGCTTGCTGCTTACGCCACCAGTTCAACGCTCATTTTTTGTTTATATGTTTGTCGCCAACGTCCAATGTCAGTATTGTCATGGAGTCTTAGTCGCACATAACAAGCGCCAGTACTAACAGGAAACAGTCGTTCTCAGCCTGCTCGGTAGCGCCATATTGCTCCTGATGATCTTGACCCGATACATCAGCTCACGACGGAACCTCACGAGCTGGAAAGTCATCTACGGCAACAACGGACCGTCGCTGCCTAGTACTAATGACGGAGGGAGCAAGACGCGGTCAATCTGGGGCACCAATTCGTCTGGTCGTGCTGCTGCGCGGAGCGGAGCCTACAGTGCCTCAGGTCAAGCCAAAGCATATGACAACTGGCTTGTGATCCGGCTATCCATCGCCTTCGCTGTCCTCTGGTAAGTCAATGCCGGTCTCTCTCCTCTCGCCTGCAAGGATCTAAGACTTGCGTCTAGTGTTTTTGAGTACACAAACGTTGTCCCGCGCTTGAAAGCCGCGAGTCACACGATCGACCTAGCCAGCGGTTTGCATCCCGACCTCAGCGTCAGACGCGCGCGAATAAGTATCCGAGGCTATGTCCCCGGCGTCTCGCCAAGCCTGGCAGCTTTCCTGGTGTTTGGAACGACGAAGACGTTCCAGGAAAAGATGTACAAAACTTTTGTGCCAAAAATGTTCCAGAGACAATTCAGAAAAAAGCGAAAGACGTCCACGGCGCTTGCGACTCCGACCCCCGCGCCACCGCCGCCACCGTCCCGACGAGTCGATCCCTTCGGGGATGAAGTCTCCCTCGATTCCATGGCTCCGACACCGCCTCCCCGTCCTCTCCACGAAGCCCCCCTCGATCCTGTGTGTCCGAAAACGCCTACGAACGCCAACTTCAGCCGGAAACTTCCATCTCGGGGGAGCCCGAGCCCACATAATCCCTACGGCCATTCAAAAACGCCTTCAAGATCCGAGGCACTACATTCTCAACCAGTTCTACCATTTTACCCAACTCAGACTCCTGAACCCAGCACATATGATTCCCACTATGATCATTCAAGAACGTCTTCGAGATCCGAGGCACTGCATTCGCAACCAGTTCAATCAATTCAACCGATCCAGCCATCTCAAACTCTAGCACCGGCGGCCGACATACACCCAGATTCGATGTTGCCGATGACCCGACGAGTGAGCCCAATAGTACTTCCGAATTTGCATTCAAAGTTTTCGACTCGAGTGAAACGTGACCCAAAGAAAAGGTTATCGTCACATCCGATTTAACTCATAAGATCAGAGGATAGATATCATCAACCACGGAGTTTTAGGCGTACACAGAGGAACATGCCAGATACCATGTTTGCTTTACACCGGAATGTGCCGGAGCATGTCTCGTCTTACCATGAATTTCTTTCACGTTCAACCACCATGTCATTATTATGTCCCTTTGTAGAAAATAATAATTCTGCGACGTCACGTCCTCGTCGAGACACGCGTATCAGCGAGCCAATTGGCACCTGTTTTCATTCAAAACTACCTCACATGTTCATTTCGATATTAAGCTTGTCGTGGAGCAATCGCTGATATACTGCTCAGATATGCATCTGCAAGTTGGATGCATCCGCTTTCATCCGGCGTTTCGCTGTGCCTTGCTACCCATGGCCGCGACATTGATATCCTTGCCCTGTCTCGTCAACTGAACTCGAGACCCCGCCATTGAGTCGTAAGGGTAACAACCTTGGTAACGGTGAACGTTACAATTGTACCTTTGCTTCGTATTCACATGGCGTTATCGGCGAACAAGGTTACAGAAAATTATGCAACGGTGTACGGATACGCCGCGGTTCTTTGGAGCAGATTACGACGTAGCTTAGTACCTTAACCTAATAACGCATGAACGTGTGGGCCAGCATTCCATCGAAGGGTGTTACAGACCACACCGCGAAGCAGGAAAATGCATCAAAGGGGCGGCAGAGCTACTAAAGCATGGGTCCACAGAGAGACCAGAATAGGACATTGACCAATCACCTGATAATCGAATTAAAGGTGCGCATTTCGCCGAATGCTGCCGAGCTGCTCTTGGCTATAAGCTTCGATGAGTTCTTGGAGCCTTCCATCAATTGAAACGAACGCGCCATTAACCCCCCCCATCTTGGGGCTTTCGGTGTCTCATGGCTTGCTCTTCGTCTTAAGACGGCACTCCCTGGTGCCCTCAAAACGAATCCTTCCGGCCGCAACGCGGCATAGGCGGCTGGCTGTGGCTTGGAAGGCAGCAGCGTCTCGAGTCAGAACATTTCGAGTCTCCACGTTCAGGGTGACGCTGTAACTTACGGATCCCGGCCGCCCGCTGCCTCCGGCTCTGAGTAAGCTTGGGTTGCCGGTAGAGTTCGTCGGATGTTAACGCTGTGGGGAATACTCGGCGCTATACTTTTCAATGGATTCGTGTGAACGTTGCACCTCTGTTTTACAAACGTTGTAAATAACAGGCGATTTATTGAACAACAGCTGGCAGCTATACAGATGTCCAGTTTCAATTAATCCAGAGTAAAACTTAAAGACCTAGTATCACAGCAGATGTCCGTTCTACTGGCTTCTTTTCCCTTGCCTAGGGACTTAGTAAAGGGTTACTTATCCCTCTTATAACACACAGACTTTAGTTAGCTTTACCTAGTGATAGTATGCAGCTAGGCTTGTAAAGCAGAACTAGGACTAATACACCTAAACCTATCTTAGGTCTAGTGAAAAGAGTATAGAGAGGTTTAATCTATTTAGATTTTAGAAACCCACTAAAGGGAAAGACAATGCCGGTAGGTAAAGGCAATTGGAAGCAGTGCACCGAAGAAAATGGCTAGGAGGAAAGGGAACAGAGTAAAATCAGGGGAGGGAGGCGTGTTTTCACAGGAGATCTCCTCTAGACATCTGAGCTAGTGTTTCAGAGCCCGAACGACTAGGCGGACATGTGTGAGAGGAGGTTTCAGAGAATGGAGCGGAACAGACGGAGAAGGCAATAAAGATAGAGGGAATGAGCCCCGACCAGTCCCTTCAGCAACAGATTGGCGAATAGGTGATGGGAGGTTGGTGAGGGCAAAACCAAGGTCATGAACAGGCCTGGCGAGACAGATGTAAGGGAAAGCAGCTGAGAATCTGAAGGAAGAGATCTGGAGACAAAGGATGCCTTGTCATTGCCCCTAGACTGTATCTCGTTAAGCCGTGGCGGCACGCAGCGTATGGAGCTCTATCAATAAGATGTCAACTGTCAACTAGCAACTTTGATCCATACCGGGAAGTGTTTCGCTATGAGGCTGGCCATCCGCGTTGCCTTCACTCCATTCACAGATCGTGAAATGGGCCTTTAGCATAGCTCAGTCTTTATAGCGTTATGGGACAACGTAACGTTGGGCAATCAGATCGAGCCAAGTATGAATTGTTCACTGCATGTTTCAAGTTGGCTTGTTTGGCCCATGCATCTGGCTACCTCTGGCTATAAGCTGGTTGGCTGTAAAGCAGCGACCCTATCCGCGGTAGGTTTACGATATCACCAAGCATACCTCCATCCAGGATCAATCGCTTCGGCGTTCACAAACTAGTAGAAGTTTGCTACCAAGCAGATCCAGTAAACGCCGGGCAATATCCTCCACCTGACAAGGCGCTTGTACTCCTTCCAGTCATCACCATACTTCTCCGCGCATGCAGCATCATCCCGCATTTCGCGGTGAATCAAGAGGACACCGAAGTACAACAGGTAGAAATAGGTGAAGACGATACCCCATCCCCGCGCAGCACCCTGGGCCACCTCTTGGCCATCGAGCATGGTGAAAACGCCAGGGACAGCACTGCTAACGCTTCCGGCGCTGAGGCTTTGATATCCAGCGATGCCGGTAGGCAGGCAGAAGGGCTGACCCTGGATCCAATCGCCGAGGTAGTTAATATGACGCGACTTGCCCCACCACCCGCCGGTGAGCAGCCTAGTACCCCGTTTCGTTTGGATGAAGGGCAAGTCCTTGACACTGGGGTGGTCTGGTTGCCTCCGAAAGAGCAACGACTGTTACTACGAATGAGAAAGGACGGGGAGGCCAGAGCCGGTGTTCTTGGCGTTCTCGTAGACCCTTGATGTGCTACGATTCGACGATTGTCATTTTGACTAATCGAGCCCAACAGAGATGGGATTTTTTGGCAGTGGGGAGGTCACTGTCACAGGTTTGGACATGGCCCAATTGAGTTGTTGGCACTGACGACGATGATAATTGAAGTGATCTGCTTCCAGAGCTTGAAATTGATATTGAAGCCCGCCACTTTCTCCAAAGTTATTAACCAACTGCTCTACAGCTAATTCAGCACGAAAACCTTGATTATAGAGGTATCCTTCCCAGCTCCCACCCCTGCCCGCCGCTATGCTTCCATCTCCTTTTCAGACCGTGAGAAATCCTTGAATGGGGATGAACGGGTCCGCCTTCTTCTTCCCCGGGTCCAAGCTAAATTGCCACTGATAATGGTATATGACGCCAACGCATTACCGTCCTCGAAGGGCGATAAATCACCCTTAAGCCTCCCCTCCTGGACAGTAACAGCACCCCGAAGGCTGACACGTATGAATTCCTTTTGATAGCCCTCAATGTCAAAAGGCGTCCCTGATTTCCCACAGGTGTCAGACAACCCCTGCATTCAAGGGACAGTTCACGGCCATGATAGTCATGCAGCGGGAATCGGGGCATCGAACTGGGCCAGGCCATCGACAGCAACGGTTCAACAACGTTGAAAACTATATCGATGCCGTAGCGCAATCCCAGTCCGGCAACTCAAAGTGCGCCGAACCGGCTTCGATCCGGCGCGGGCCGTCTAAAACCTCAAGACAGATTCGGCTTGTTCCGGCATGATCGTCGAATGTGAGGTGACGCACGCCAGTTCTGTCCAACGGACTTGATCTCCCTGGCTTCCACCGACCGTAGATCGGCCCATTCGATATGCTCCCAACCACAGCCGCGCCAGGCCGGCTTTGGGTAGGGTCTCGCAGCTAACTCTCGCAGCAGCAGCCATCGAACCGTTTATCCGCGTTACACTAGTCAAAGGCATGATTTGGCTCCTCAGGTCTCGTCATGAAACGACACGAGCTGAGCCCACGTCCCGCAACGGGAAGCGATCTTCCCCGAAACGCCAGCCAGCCACTTTTCCCAGGCCGGGAGAAGCCTCGTGCCCAGTCCTGTGAACCTCGCTCGAATTACGAAGAGGGCCGCTTATAGGGTAAGTGGCGTCACCGAAAAAGGCGTTCATCGTTGTGGTGTTGCCAAACTCGGAAGTGCCATGCCGTCCCTTCCTAGCAAACTGAGACAGGAGTCGAGAAACAAACAACGACGCACACTTTGCGGAAGAATGGGAGGGGAAGCTCGCTCCCTGTTCCCCTAGAGATGCCGCGAGGTTGCGCGGTCCTACTGTGGACTGGAATTCGGGTTATATGCGGCACCGAGACAAGCTCATCAACCTGCATTCCTGTCGAAAGGTAGAAGCCCCTCCTATTTATCAACAGCTCAACGGTCGCCGACTTTTTTCCTCAACTGTTCGGTGTCCTCTTCTCTACCTCTTCTTCAACGAGTAGACCAAACGGAAAAGAAGCCACCCGGCATTTCAAGACCTAGCGGACGTTAATCAGTCATGATGCTCGTTCGCAGTATCCTCGCCGTCCTCGGCGCGTCCGCCTTGGCCGCCGCGAGCCCTGAGGCCCCGGCCGTCACACCCTTCCCCACCGCTCCCGGCGGCGGCGTCCCGACGACCCTTGTCCCCGTCCCGCTACCATCCATAATGTCCTCAACGGCAGCGGTAGCACTATCCAACAACTTGACGTCCTCGACGGCGGCTCCAGTACTGACCAAAATCTCGGCGTCCTCGGCGGTCAACACAACGATCACCTCCACGGTCGCCGCCACGCGGACCGTCACCCTGCGGCCGGTCAAGACCAGGTCGTACCAGGCCTGCGGCGGTTTGCGCGTGTCGCCGACGCCGTGCCCGGCCAGCTTCGAGTGCATCAAGAACCCGTTCGATAGCGGCTGCGGGCCGGCGTGCGACGGGCCGGGCATCTGCGTGGTGCCCATCCCGTGCAGTGGGGTCGCGGGTACCAACTGCCCGGATGGCAAGATTTGCGTGGATGACCCAAGGGACGATTGCAACCCGGGGAAGGGCGGCGCCGACTGCATTGGGCTCTGTATTTAGAGGATGAGGAGAAGAATCGGATGTCGGGATATCAAGATGGGACGGGCTGGCGTTGTCAACAAACATGTTTCTTTTGTGGTCACGTTTTTCTTTGTACCTTGTTTTCTGGGGGCAGCTCTCTGGTGACATTCTCCGGGAGCAAAACAAATCATCAACAAGATTGGAATATCCTGATGTCTTGATGGATGGATGCTGCATCTTCATTGCTGTGTCCTAACCTGTCTTGGTGTGAAGAAGAGGTAAGGCGGTGGTTCTCGGTGACCGTCAGTGAAGCGTCGGTGAAGCATCGGTGAATGGCCGGCTCGACAGGTTTGGAAGGAAGGCAGGAGCTTTGAACCACAACAAATAGTTCTTTCCCTTCCCTCAGCAGCTAGACGAGTACTTCTCGTTTTTCCCCCTTTGTTTTTCTTTTTTCTCTGTCGAAGCTTCTTCCAATCTTCACATCGTTTGTTTATTAGAAGAACTATGAAGAAAACATTCCTCCAGGCTCTCCACAGCCATCCGAGATTCACATTCACCAGCTTCACCTACAGGCCTTCTTCACATTTACACCCCTCGGCCACAGTCATAACAGGTCTCGACTCACTCCGGCTCATATTCTCACTCCAAAATCCGATATCACGTCAACTCCAACTTCGACTTCAACTTTACACCACCAGGGGGGATAGCCAGTGGCAAACCCTGTCGCTCAACCAACAATGTGCCAACTTATAGCAATACGGTACATCTGCGACCATGACACCACTTACAGAGACGCATGCGAGAAGGTCCTGTACATCCGCGACGCATTCGGGGACTGCGGGAAAGTGGACAAGGTAAAATCCATCAGCCCGTACTACTGCATGCCACACTGCGTCTACCGATTATGGCGCAGGCGTTGGGTCTGCCACAAGTGCCATGGGCCAAACCAGAAGGTCTCGCGGTGCGCCATCAAAAGGTGCGGACACATCATTTGTCGCGAGTGCAAACCCTGTGAGTTCCTTCGGACAGGCTGCAAGCAAGGAAGCGACACAAGGAGACTGACAGAGCCAAGTGATTCGCCACAAGAAAGACAATGCAAAAACGGTCACGTACAACGCACTAGAGCACATCAGATGGAGTGGAATAGCCAAGCATCCTACGCTAGTACCGCCAGTACCAGTGTATAGCCCTTCTGTTGGAGACTGGGTGTGATCAAAAGCAGAGAGGTGTGGATGCGTTACTCGATATAAGGAATACTCGTTTGGGTTGTGACGGACTTGGAATAAATAGGTGCTCGAAGAAAACAGATGCTGGACTAGCCTTAGACGGCGCAGGCTTCTATTCGTATGAAGAGTTCATCTCTCTTTCTCTCTCTCTCTCTTAAAGTCTATTGACCAATGCTCTATAGGAAGTGACTCGCGCGCGCGGGGGGGTTAACGTAAGAGCGAAAAGAAAACCAACACATCATCATCATCATCATCATCATCATTTGCCGCCCGAGAACGACACAACGGCCCACTTGCCGCTCCAAGCCCACTTGCGCGAGCCCGAGTCGCCGCCGCCGCCCTCGGTCGCCAGCAGCTTCTCGTCTTCGCCGGGCGGGAGACCGACGACAACATCGGCCTTGCAGGTGCGGAGCGCCAGGATGTTGAGGCCGGACCCCGGACCGAGGTTCTTCAGAGCTTCAGTGAACGGCGTTGCGGCATCCCAGTCGGCCTGGAGTTATGCCAGTCAGTATACTTTCGGCAGAGGTGGGGAAGAATACCACAAAAAGAAAAAAAGAAAAAAAAAAGAAATTGATAAAGAAGACCACATACGTCACCAGTCAACTTGCGGTAGTTCAGGTCTCCCTTGAAGATGACCACCTCGCTTGCCTTGAGATCCTCGTAGAGGTCCTTGGCCTCTTCTGGCAGTTGCCAGAAGGGGCCGGGGTGCGTCCAGTATCGGTTGGGTCGGAGGATGAGCTGGCCCTCGGCGTGGAACTGGCTCCACTCCTGGAAAAGGAACGAAAGGTTGCTCGCGTCCGCCTCCGAGAGCGGCTCGGGGGTCTTGTTCTGGAGCTCCTCCTCCTCCGAGGGGGTCTCGTAGAAGGGTTTGGGGTTGGCGATGGCGCCGAGCAGCTGGGCGAAGTCGCCCGGCAGCACATCGGAGACGAACCACGGGATCGACTTGGGGTGCAGGACGACGTGCGTCGCCAGGCCGGCCGAGAGCAGGTAGCCAGCGAGGATGAGGTCGACGTAGAGCTCGAAGCCGGCGTTGTCGAGGACGATGTCGATGCGGCGCTCCTTCTTGCCCTCGGCCTTGGCCTTCTTGAGCAGCTCGTAGACGGCGGGGAGGTCGTTGACGACGATGTTCTTCTCCGACGCCTTGCGGGCCTCGGAGCCCTGCAGCTTCTGGATGTCCTCGTACGTCAGGCTCGTCAGCAGAGACAGGTCTGTCGCGTTGCCCCACAAGCAGATCTCGCACATCTCGGCGAAGAGGATCTTCTCGGCCTCGTCGTCCTGGGCGGCGCCCTTGTTCGCCCGCAGCTGCTCGACCAGCTCCTTGTACTTGGAGGCCAGCTCCAGCACGGCGGGGCGAGAGGATCGGAAGGTGCTAATCTTCTGGCGGGCAAAGACGTCGTAGTTCTTCCAGTGTGTGGATTGGGCAAAGTAAGTGGCGATGCGTCTATCGGTCATTCCGTCAGCACCGCGTCTTGCCGACGGACATTCGGTTAGGCGCCCAGCTAAAAAAAAAAAAAAAAAACTCACCTGAACAGGTAGCATTCGCAGTAGAGCCAGGGAATGTTGAGCCAGGTCGGCGAGCCGAGCTTCTTCAGCTCCTCGTTGTAGATGCTGACGTCCGGGTATCCATCGTCCTCGATTGGTCTGGTACGGTCGAGTTAGCAAGGTCTGCTGCGAGTGAAGATGGGGAATAGGCAGGTCGGTCATACGTCAACGGTCGGTCGTGTTGGACCTCGTACTTGAGGCGGGCAATCTTCTCGATGATCTTCTTGCCATCAGCCTCCTTCTCAGCGTCCTTGGTCTGCGAGACGGACCGGTAAAGGTCATCGATGGCTTGGGTCTGTAACACGAGACGTCAGCTTGAATATGGCAACATGGACATTAGGAAGCGGGGGATGGGAGGAGAGAACGAACGATGATGACAGGCCAGCGCTCGCGAGCGGTGACCCAGCCAAAGGACCGCTTGTCGCCGGTCGAGTAGGGAGCTGCCGTGACACGTTAGGTTTCCTTGTACGGCTGGGGAGTTGGCAAAGGGAGTGTTGTGGTACCAGGCATTTTGAAATGTGTACGGGTATATGGAGATCAGGTCGAATACGGGATGTATTGGGAGAGGGAAATGCAGAGATGTTATAGCTTTAGAAAAGATTGTCGCAAGCTGATGTGTCTCAGACGGCGTAGTTTCGGCCAAAGACGACCACGGCTTCATAGAATGAACTATCTTGAGCGGATTCTGCTACAAAAAACAGCTATACCCCCGCTCTCTCCCGCCCGCGGCTGGCTAGTGGGGCAGCACCGCGGGGCACATCCCCGTTAGCGGCATACTATACCCGAAATGGCGTAAGCCCCCCGTTTCGGATAGATATATGCACTTACAAAGGCGAGTTTGTTAAGCCGACGGGAATAGTGTTGCAATTGACCAATCACCGCCCAGTATGTGTGTTCGTGTATCTTCACCTTCCTTCACCTTCCTCACAATTCATTTCCACCATCTCCTCTCTATCCTTTGAATATCGGCAGACCACGTAAAAAAACAACACAAAAAACACCTAAAAACACTTCTATACCACTGTTTCGGTCGTCATATTCTCGAATTATCCGTTTTTCTTGCAGGTCCCAAACACACACCACCCATAACCCGTACTGCAATACCGCGACACGAGCCATTCCTTGGCTTGTGCGCCTGGTTGGAGACTGCCGCGACGGTTTCACGATGACATTCCATGCTATTGATTGGGAAGGGGTTCTCTTCGCGGCTTGAAAGATAAGCGTGCCCGAGTTTGGAAAACTTTCCCGATCTTTCTCCCAGCCAGTCAGTCGGCCAGCCAGCCAGCTCAATTCACCTGACGCTACCATTCATCAGCTCAAACTCGCCGAGTATTTGTCGACCCGAGAACGCGCGGCGTGCCACAGAACCGACAAGCAGCGTCTTCTCGGCTAAGATAGAGGAGCTTCAGCCACATCGCTCTCTACCGGTGTTGCAAGCCACACTTCTCTGATCAATGTAGCTCCCTACACTGAGGTAGCTACACTAATGTAGGTTCCAGCCACCACCGACCAACACCTCGCGGGACTCCACGATCTACCCGGCTCATCATGAACATCCTTCAGCCCTGGGAGCACTTTGCGACGAGTCTTGTCCTGCATAAAGTGCCTGGAGGCTCAGAGCCACGACCCGGCTTGTCAATAATCACCGACATTCGTCCAGGTCCTGACGAGAGAGCATCTGATAAGTGTGCCATTGACCCGCAGGTGAAACCTTCTGGGCCACAATAACATGTGCCAATTCGCCCCGCTTGCCGCCAGCATCCTTGACCATATTTTCCACAACCCAGGGCCACGGTTCACCACCTGCCGAAAGCATCACGCATGAAGTTGGGGCGTCTATCAATCATGACAGTCCACTTGAAAACTACTGCAAGCCCTGACATTGGCAGAGCCCGGCGCTTTCAGTCGCCAAGTAAAACTCAGCTGAAAGATGAGGCGACACTCTTTGGCTAAGACGGGAAAAGCTTGTGAAGCGAGTCGATAAGGCGGCCTTGCCGACTGTCTAATTCTCAACTGCCAAACTTTCTTCTGATGCCCTACGACGGATACTGGATCATCACATGGCTGCTTGCTCGGCGATCAATGTTGTGCTGTTTTTTTTTTCCTTTTCCTATTCTGGCATCCAACCGATTCGGCTCAGAAAGAACCTGTCTTCTTTTCGAGTGGAAGAGCCAACTGGTCGACGTACAAATACCACCTTGTTCCGAGAAGAAAGGTCGAGCTATTTGATTTGTTGGGACGATGAGAGTTCTATGCAGAAAATCTCACCAGCACATACGAACGATACTCCAACCTTGTTACATGATAGCGAGGAGACGGACTATAACATCCAGGCCTGTGCTGAGTTGAGCAAAAAAACAATACACAGATGCATGCCATCTCGCAAAGGAAGAATCTCGTTACATACTACATATACCGGCAATTTCAGCACCGACTGATGCAGGTTTGCTGATCTTGATTAATATCTACAGGGCAGCGGCCGAAAGCGGTCATGCGACGGTCCATTGGTGTTGGTAGTATTCGTCATCACACGCTGGCGGTATACCAGTGCTGCAAACTCGGGACCGGGGCCTGAGTCGCGGAGCTGCTTTCGCATCTCCGGTATTATCCGCGAGTGGGCGGTAAGTCTACAAGCTCCCCTGCAAAAGCCAAACGAGACCCAGTTCCCATGGCACCAGGACATGACAAAATTCCCCAAGCAACGGGACCGTTGGAACACAGGAACAGATAAATTCTTCCGTAAAGAGCCATGCTTCTCGTTCCTCGCGGCCGGCTAGACTGCCTGAGAAGCCGACGGATTGCGCATTGGTGTACCATGCCCTACATAAACCTGTGGAGCAGGTGGCCCAAATCGCAACGTTTGACGTTTGACAGTTAATACTTCAGTATACGTCAGGCGGCTCTTACCGGCAGCAGCTCGATGCTCGGCAACGACATCCGATAATGGGCAAGACTTTCTCGCGCTGTGGGAACCGGCGAAGAATTCCCCCGCAGGATCAGAATTGAGTACACTATGAGGGCGGTACTTCTGACTTTGAGTCAAGCATCAACCGGGATACCGTGGCTTCTGGTTTCCCAATGTTTGGGCTCGATGCGCGCCCAACAACGCCATTCTGGAACCCTCGAACAATGGAGTCGGTTGGGTAATAGAGCAGTCGTCTCCTCGTTGTCAAGGTCGCGACTGTCTTCGGCATGCCATCAAAGCTTTTCGTCTCAATAAGAAGTATCCTGGCTCCTCGAAAGTTTGTTGTTCCGGAACATCAGAACAACGTGGCGACTAGGTTAAAGGGTCTCTAAGTTCAATGGCCGATCATCTGCGGGTGAGTTGACATTCGGCGGCCTCTCCTCGGTGCCATTGCCGAAGGACGGAGGATTTCCCCTCACAACTTTCTTTGCCGAAGCCTGGCCCAGCGGGATCCCCAGAGAAGCCAAAATCCCCACGGTTCAAATCCCCATGGGCACATCAGCTGACTCCATTAGTCATAGACAGGTTCGCCTACCGCTGCTATTCGGTGGAGTGGTCACCACTCATACGATGATCCACCACTCGGCCAACTTCCGCTTCGAGCACTAGCCCCTGGCATCTTTTCCCCACGTTGCACGACTTTACGACGCTCATCATCGATAGCAGGAGACAGAGGATCAAATGAAAATTTCACTGCAGCCCGCTGCGAGGGTGGACCGAAATCGGGTGACGTATCAAATTCTCACAGCTGGGGAAGATGGCGGGGTATGACCTCGCGTAGCCTGTCCATGGTACGAAGATGCGAGTTTCGGTGGACCATAGCCTCGACCAGTAAGCTAAGCCGAATCACTCAACACTTTCAACCGATTCTGGTAAGGGCAACCGTCGTGAGGAGCAGTCAGATGTGATTTGACGGCATTAAACACAATGGCAAAAATACGTTACCGTCATGGGGTCGAACGAAAGAACGATGGGTACACACGAGCTTTCCACGAAAACCCCTAGAGCTACCAGAAGTGCGCGGCAAACGGCCCGCGACCAAAGGACATGGATCCCATTTCAGCCAACCTCGCCATTCTGTCAAAACAAAGTCTCGTCAAAGCTTGACACGTGCCGTCCCCATCAGGCAAAACCGACCCCATCGTCGAGGGACGCCTCCCCGGTCATCATCCCGGAAAGGCAACCCTTAGCGTCGGTTCTGCAGCTTTAAGTAGATGTCCCAGCCCACGGGGTGGGATGATCGTCTTGTACTCTCGGGCTTCATTCCGGCCGAGGATTTGTTTCGTCAGACAAGGACGAGCTTCTATCTTCTGTTGTCTGATTAGTCGTCCGAAAGCAAGCCGTCATTGTCTTCACTATGGCCGTCGAAGCGGAAACCGCCGCCGAGGCGCGCACGAGGCTCGCGTTCCAAAACCGATGGAAGACCCTGGCGAAGAACCCAAAGATCCTCGTTATTGCTCTTTTTGCTTCGTAAGTTGGATGCTCGAAAAGTCATAATAGTGAGCACCTAATAGCTGACTGCTTTCAAACCAGGATAGGAGGTCTTGAGTATGGTTTTCAACAGGGAGTCTTGGGCCAGTCCCTTGTGATGACGCGCTTTACGGACAACTTCCCATCCGTCGTCAACTCATCCAGCGCTACCGGTTGGTTGACTTCCATCCTTCAGCTGGGAGGTATTCTCGGCTCTCTCACCGCCGGCGTCTTTGGCGAGGTCTTCTCCCGCAAGTACACCATGTTCTCAGCCTGTGTCTGGGTCATCCTTGGAAGTTACCTTTACACTGGAGCGAGCTACCACAAGCCGGAGCTTCTCTATGCCGGTCGCTTCTTTACTGGCCTCGGTGTCGGCACTTTCAGTGGTGTTGGGTAAGTGTCTTGGCTCCGACGCATCGACATACAGCACGGTCCCCAATGTACAGAATGCTGACCTACATATAGCCCCCTCTACAACGCCGAGCTCGCCGCCCCCGAGATGCGTGGCTTCATCGTCTCTTTCTACCAGTTTGCCACCATCTTAGGCATCATGTTGAGCTTCTGGGTCGGTTACGGCAGCAACTACATCGGCGGCATTGGCGCAGGCCAGTCAAACCTCGCCTGGAAACTCCCATCCTACATTCAGGGTATTCCTGCCATCCTGTTAGCCCTCGGGATCTGGTGGCTCCCCTTCTCGCCCCGCTGGCTAGTGAAGCAGGGCCGAGACGAGGAAGCCGTCAAGACAATTGCCTACCTCCGCAAGCTTCCTGAAGAAAACGACCTTGTCCAGGTGGAGTTCAAGGAGATCAAAGCCGAGGCTCTCTTTGAGCAGCGCGCTTTCCAAAAGGCTTTCCCCCAGCTGGCTGAGAAGGAGAAAACCAGCGTTTGGATGCGCGAGGTTGCGCAGTATTGGCGTATTGTCCGCGAATGGTCCCACTTTAAGCGTGTTGCTACTGCGTAAGTTCTTCATTGCCTGTTACCAACCATATTACTGCAAACTGCTCGTATTCCTTCCACCTTGATAACCCTAGAGCTGAGCCATGCTATCAACCCTGACCCTGTATAATTATACTAACTTAAGACTAGTTGGTTGATCATGTTTTTCCAACAGTGGAGTGGCATCGACGCTATTATATACTATGCGAGTAATGTGTTCCAGAGCCTAGGTCTTACTGGCGGTACTACTGCTCTCCTTGCTACAGGGGTTACTGGAGTAGTGTTTTTTATCAGTACTCTGCCTGCAATGGCCTTCATCGACAAGGTCGGCCGGAAGCCCATTCTCATCGGAGGCTCTATCGTTATGTTAATTTCCATGATCATTCCCGGAATCATCGTTGCTAAATTTAGTTATGACTGGCCGGGTCACCCTGCCGAGGGCTGGATTGCTGTCGCGTTTATTTGGATCTATATCAGAGCTTTTGGTGCTTGTATGTGCATCTCTGGCTTCCCTCCTGGCAACAGCTTACTGACAGACTTTCAGCGTAGGGTCCGGTTTCTTGGACGCTGATCTCCGAGATCTTCCCCCTTTCCATCCGTGCTAAGGGTGCTTCGATCAGCGCATCCAGCAATTGGGTACATAATAGCATGTTAATTGTCGCCCCTCCCACCGCAGTATGCTAACTGTTACAGTCAGTAATCTAACAGTAGGGTTTCCGCTAGGAATAAGCTAGGGTCAATACTTAGTTAACAGTAGTATAGGCTTACTAGTCTATTAATCACTTAGTAATTAGTTAGGTAGTTAATAGTTATAAAGGTAGCTTATATAGCTCTTATTAATTAAATCTCTAAGGTTAAATACTAAAAGTTATTTAAATAAATTATATTATAAGAAGTTAATTACTAAAGAGCTATAAGAGTCTATCCTTAAGTGTGTCTAAGTTTATCCTATATATAAGTTTATTCCTTTTGTTAGTGTATAAGGCTATATATTTAAACTATAGCACCTATATATTTTCTGTATAGCGCCTATATACTAAGTATATAGCTTCTGTATTTTTAATATATAGATCTTATCTAATTTTATTATTATATAACTTATACTATAGTTCTTCTATATCTATAGGAGTTATTTTGTCTATGCTTATTTATTAGTTCTATATAAATACTATTACTACTTACTAGTTATTTTATTAAGTAAGGTAATATTACCTATAACTTATTAGGTTATAATATTAGGTCTCCCCTCTTAAAGGTCTTGCCTTTAAGACCTATATAAGTAGGTTATATCTCCTAAGTTAAGGAGTTATTAATTCTACTTCCTAATTTACCTATAATACTAACACTATATTAAGTTATATAAAAAAATTAGGGTTAAAATTAGCACTTTATTTAGTATATAATTATATTTTTAAT